GGCATAGCATCACATGGCATAGCAAGGTGTTGAAGATTAACGCGTAGCATGACATAGCATGGCGTGGCGACGCCCCGAAATGAGGGGGGGACTTCTGCAGCCCAACAAATCAAATAATCGAAACCGAATGTGTTATCACTTCCGCTCTTTTCTTCGGGAGACCATGAGCGCGTTTCTTTATTTTCGGCGATGACGGGCGTCAGGGAGGGGGGGCGGGGGGTATGACGTAACGCCCCCCCCGCCGTGTGGCTCCGGCACCACAGCCGCGCCCGCGCGCACGACGACGATGAGCGACGACCGACGAGCAACGACGACGACGACGACGACGACGACGCGATCAGCATGTAGGTGGCGATCTGCCCCACAGCGCCTGTGTACACCACAATGCTCGCGTGCACCACTACGCTTGTGTACACCACAGCGCCTGCGTACACCGCAACAGCCGTGTGCAACGCTGCTCCTGTGTACACCAGTGCTTGTGTGACACACAGCTAATATACAACACAGCAAATGTGTACACCGCAGCAGCCATGTGCAACACAACGCCTGTCTACACCACAGTGCTTACGTGCACCGCAGCGCCTGTGCACACCACGGCGCCTGTCTGCACCACAGCATCCGCGTGCAACGCAGCGTTGGTGTACACCAGAGTGCCTGCGTGCACAGGACAAGTAGAAGGAGCATGTCGGTGAGGATCTGCTGCGGACAGCGAAACGCCACGCCAGGGAAGTACCGATAATAGAATGCGACGTTCTTCCCTCCTGCCTCCTCCACCTCCGCCTGCTCCTCCTCCTCCTCCTCCTCCTCCTCCTCGTCCTGCACCTCCTCCCTTACCCTTCCCCCCTGTCGTGCGGGTCGGCGCTACAGCGCACGTGCGCATCTCAGCGTGCACCGCAGAATGATTTATTGAATCAGTCCACTTGGTTCTCTGAGAGATGGCCATATTTAACTGGAGCCTCCTGGACGCAGATGGGAGGAGTTAGGATGATGCGGGCGGACTCCGGCGGACTCGTAGATTCCAGCGGCGCTCCTTTTTCCATAAGGATTCCTTTCCAAATTCTGTATAAAGCATTTGTTTTCTGATGAATTCACAGGCGCTCCATTTTGTCAAAGGATTCCTTCTGACATTCTATGTGCAACAGTGGTGCTTTGTTGCACACGGTTGCTGTGGTGCACACAGGCGCCCGTCATGCCCCAAACAATAAAGAAACACGCTCCGTCTCTTAGATTTTGGGGCCGATTTGGAAGAACCACAAACCATGCCGTGGCATGGCACTGGAAATAATAACGCCAACGCTGCAGAGGGAGCTCGATTCAGAACGACCGGAAGCGCGGAAATGAGGCCAATTCTGCAGCGGGAGCACGATTCGGAACGAGCGGAAGCGCGGAAATGAGGTCAACGCTGCAGCGGGAGCAAGATTCGGAACGTGCGGTAGCCCGAAAATGAGACCAGCGCTTTAGCGAGAGCAGCGTTTCGAAAAAACACCCTAGCGAAAACCCGTTTCCTGGGAATCCGTGTAAGAAACCAGCTCGTTGAGGGGGGCCGGCCACTTCCCGGACGCCACCATGGGAGAGAGGAGAGTAGTACTCAGATTGTTTGATTGTATAGGGCGGGGGGGAGGCGTTGAGGGGTGGAGATAGGGAGGGGGGAAGGACAGCGGCCAGGGAGCGGGAGGAGGGGGGCAGACAAGGGGAGGCGACGGGAGAGGGGAGGGGGAAAGCTGTGCGAATAAAGGAGACGGGCCTTACGCAAGGTAGCATGCAGTCAGAACTCATCAGAAGGATGCGCGGTAGGGATGCAAGGGCCTTGGAAGGCCATGTTGATGTTCTTCGAAAGGGGTTGGCCAGCGAAAGTTGCCAAGGATTGGCCGAAGTGGCAAGGATGCTAGGGTAGCCTTGGACCGTCGCTTACTATGCGCTTTGACTGTAGTGACCTTACGCCACGGTCTACTCGGGCCGCCAGCGCGGCACGCCACATTGGAGACGAGGGCGCTTACGCGCGACCTTACGTGGGCAGCTTACGCGCCAATGTCGGCCCTGACGACCCCGTTGTTTTGCGTCGTTCGGATGAGGAGAGAACATGGGGAACCGGGCGGAAATGAGAGCGTAGGAGAGAAAAGGATGGAGAAATGGAGGGAAAGGAGAGGGGAGATCAGAAGAGGGAGGTGGGGAGGGGGAGGGGACACGAATGAAGCCGCCGCCGTACCCCCTGGCACGTTGAGGCGTGGTAGAATGCCACGTGCTGTCTGGCAGGGTTTCTGTAACCTTCTAAGGGGCCCCACCTCCTCGGGAAGCGCCTCGCTGCGTGCACCGCCTCCTCTTCCCGAGGCTCTGCCGGCGCCCAGACACATCCCCGACGCTCTCCAAAGCGTCCAAGATGCCCAAGATGGCTTCCAAGACGGACCTGGGAGGCCACCACAGCCGCCAAGATGGCCGAAGAGCGATCAAACACGGCCCAAGCGGCCCCCAAGAAGCCCCCAGAGCGCTCCAGGAGGATTCCCACGAGGGCCCAAAGAAGCAAAGTTCGTTGATGTTTTTCGAGCTTCCGAAGCTCCAAGACGGCCCCAGGGGCTCCCAAAACCGCCCCGAGACGGCCCACGAGCCCCTCAAGAGGGTCCCGAGACGGCCCAAGAGGGCCTCAAATCGGCCCAAGATGCACCCAAGACAACCCACGAGAGCTCCAAAAGGGGCCCAAGAGGGAGAACACGAACCGACAATTCCAGCCTTCCGCCCGAAGAGGCCCCCGAGAGACCCCAAGAGGCCTCGAAGGAGCCCCAAGAGACCCCAAGAGGCATCATCATCATCATCATCATCAGCAGCAGCATCATCATCATCAGCAGCATCATCAGCATCATCATCATAATCAGCATACTCATCATCCTCATCCTCATCCTCTTCCTCATCCTCATCCTGATCATAATCCTCATCCTCATCCTCATCCTCATCATCATCACCACCATCCTCATCGTTCTCGGCATCGCCATCACCTTCGTTATCGTCATCGTCATCACCATCATCATCATGATGATCATCATCATCATCATCATCATCGTCATCATCATCATCATCATCATCATCATCATCATCATCATCATCATCATCATCATCATACTCGTCATACTCATCACCATCACCACCATCACCACCACAACCATCATCATCACCAGCACCATGAGCAGCAGCACCACCAGCAGCATCGTCGTCATCAGTATGAGCAACGTGAGCAACATCCTCATCATCATAATCATCATCATCATCATCATCATCATCGTCATCACCATCATCATCATCATCATCATCATCATCATCATCATCGCCAACACGAGGATTATCATCGTCAGCATGATCACTATCATCATCCTCAGAATCAGCATCATCATGAGTATTAGATCATCGTCATCGTCATTGTCATTATCACCACCACCAGCACCATCACCATCATAATCACCAGCTCACCATCACCATCACCATCACCGTTTTTTGACCATCATCATCATCACCATCATCATAGTCAGTATCAGCATCATCATCGATATTACAGCAACGTCATCGCCATTGTCATCATCATCACCACCATCACCATCACCATCACCATCACCATTCATCATCACCAGCTAATCATCACCATCATCACCAGCTCACCATCATCAGCAGTATCATCAGCAGAATCATGATCAGCATCAGCATCACCATCTCCACGATTACATCATCGTCGTCGTCATGGTCGTCATCGTCATCACCATAACGATCCCAATCACCATCTCACCATCACCATCTCTCCATCACCATCATCACCACCACCACCACCATCATCATCAACATCATCATCATCATCATCATCATCATCATCATCATCATCATCCTCATCCTCATCATCATCATCCTCATCATCATCAGCAGCATCATCATCATCATAATCATCATCGTCACCATCATCATGATCATCATCATCATCATCATCACCATCACCATCATCATCATCATTATCATCATCATCCTCATCCTCATCCTCATCCTCATCCTCATCCTCATCCTCATCATCATCATCACCATCACCACCACCACCACCACCATCATCATCATCATCATCATCATCACCGACACCACCACCACCACCATCATCATCATCATCGTCATCATCATCATCATCATCACCACCACCACCACCACCACCATCATCATCATCATCATCATCATCATCATCATCATCATCATCATCATCATCATCATCACCACGATCACCATCACCATCACCATCACCATCATCATCATCATCATCAGCATCATCATGATCCTCGTCGTCGTCGTTATGAGGTCCATCCCTCGTAAATACGGTCTCCGGTGCCCCCTCGAAGGAGAGCCGCCGAGCATGCTGGGCCGGCACAGTGGCGGGAACTTGCCGCAGGCAGCTGGATACTAAAAAAGTTACGTGATGTGGCAATACGGAAAGGCTACTTTTTCTCTGTCCATCCCCGATCCTTTGCTCCTCCTCCTCCTTCGCCACTTCGTTCTGGTTTATGTATCTTCTTTTCCCTCTTACTCCACGCCCCCTTTCATACCTCCTCCATTCTCCTCCCCTCCTTCAAGGTGCACTCCCAGACCTCTCCCTTCCCTTCCCTACACAACCCCCGTCCCTCTTGCGCTCACCCCACCTCGCTCCCTTGCACCCTCGGCGCCTAATATCCCCGCCCAATACTCCCTTTGCTCCCTTCCCCACATCCACCCTCGCGGCACCCGGCCTCTTGATCCCCTCCTGCCGCATTCCCACCTCCAGGATCTGGCACGGCAGGCCGCCTTGGGTTATACCGCATTCCCTCCCCAGGCAGCCGTTGGCACGCGAGAGCATTCGTGAACCACCAGAATTTGACTCTCCTGCTCCTCCACCTCCTTCCCTCCCAACCCCACCCACCCCCCTCCAGCCCCCATCTACTCCTCCCACGCCCTACCTCTACGTCTCTGCCTCGCGCCCCCCCATGCCCATCCTCCCCCCCTCCACCGCTTCCTTTTCCCTCCCCCTATTCACCTTTCCACTTCCCCACCATTCCTCCAAGCCCTTTGGAGAAACCCAGAAAAACTATGTATCTGCATCTCTCCTGGGGTGCGCTCTGACCAGAATTTGAAGAGAATCCAGCCGTGGCGACGAAGGCTCTCCAGGACGAGCAGCAATATCGGTATTTTTGCCTCCTCTATTTCTGGCGCCGTGAGTCTTGCTCGCAACGTGACCCCCAGAAATCTGGACCGTTTCCTCTGGACGAGTTCTTCATCCCCGGCCGCTGGCCGCTTTTTAGCGGTCACGGGGCCCAGCAAAAGCCCCAGAGGACGGAAACGGCCAACAACCTTTCAGTCGGACCTAGGCCAGAAGAACATCCCTCAACAACATGAGACAATCCGCCAGCCAACAAAAACACTGAACATCCTAGGGTACCCTCCCCAGGATGCACAAGAACACCCAACAAGCACGAAGATCATCAGGGCACCGTCCCCGAACCGACCTTGACCTTAGACCTCGGTCCGACTGCACGTCCTGACATTATAACAACGAGAAGGGGCCTCCGCCCCTGAGATCCGACATTGCAAAAAAAAAAAACAGAAAAACATCGCCCAGAGCTCCGGACCCCATCTTTTGGCGCCATTTTTGGAGCCGGATCGATCTGTGAGGATCCCGGGGCCCGAAATTGCGCAAAAACGCCAGTGGAGAAAAAATTGCAACGCCAGGTCACCACGATCTCAGGGTCCACCCTTCCCCCTCCCGCCCCCATTCTCCGCTACATCCTGCGCCCTCCCGCCCATCGAATAGGGGATCGACTATAGAATTGATCTACCCCAAAAGTATTTTCTTCGTCGAATCCAATTAAAACACGTATAGTGCTCCGTAAATCTACAGAGCAATCTGCGCATGTTGCGCAAACTCGACTGGAGAAACACAATTTTGGGGTAAATCCATTATGTAGTCGATCCCCTGCTGGAACCCCCAAGGCGGCGCCGTTCAGCCTGCCCCTCGCGCCCTGCCCGGTCGAGGTCCAGGTACTCGACGTTCCGGAAGAGGAACAGCCGGTTCACCCCCTGCAGCGAGGAAGCGGGTAAGGGGGGGAAACTCCCAGATCCCCGACGGCATGAACTGTTCCCAGACTTCCGCGGAGATGTCTTCTGCAATCCGCGGCAACAGAGGTCCCGACTCCTTCTCCGAGGGTGGTTTTTCGTCGGAGTCGTCCCAGAGACCCCGAAGACAGCACAAGAGCGCTCCAAGAGTGACCGACGTGACCTCAAGACGACCCCCAAGAAGCCATCATATCCCCAAAGATCGTCCCGAAACGTCCCAAGAGGCCTCCAAGAGCACTCCCAAGCAGACCCCAAGATGCAAAAATCATTGATTTTCTATTGGTTTTTGGTGTATTTTGGGGTTCTCCTCTTTTGGGCTTCCGGACGCTCCAAGACGGCGGTCTTCTGGGCGTCCGAAGCCGCCTGGGAGGCTCTAAAATCGCCCCATAACCATTCCAAAGGGCTTCCAGGCAGTCCAAGAGAGCCCCAAAACGGCACAACAGGGGTCCAAGATGGCCCTCAGAGAGCCCCATGGCGGCCCAAGATGGCCCCAAGACACCCTCCGAAGCATTCCAAATCGTGACCCGGTCGTTCAGGGAGACCGCGGTTGGAGGCAGGGCGACCCGAGGAAGCCCCCAGAGGCCCCCAGAACACGCCCAACTCCAGAAGGCCTTAAGAAAGCTTGACATAACTTTTGCGAGGCCCCCAGAGGCTCTCCAAGGAGGAACCTCCGCAAAAAGAGCCGAGGAGGATGGGGAGAATGCGCAGGATATGGCGAAAATGAGGAAAAAGAAACATGGAGGAAGGATAACGAATAACATTATTATAGCGGCGATGCCAGAAAAGGCAACAAAGAGTCATAGCTAAATTGTCGGCTTGACCTTCCTGCTATTCCGCCTGCATACCAAACTTCAAGGACCAAGGTGCATGGCGCGAAGCGCCACTGCAGTCTTGTATATCTATCTCTCCCTCTATATATATATATATATATATACATACATATATAATGCATATATACATGTACGGAAAAAGAAAGAAACAAAATCAATCCTCGGATCTCTGGGTTCGTTCCTGCCCTTTCTCCCTGGGGGTCGGCCTGGGGGCCCGTCAATCGGGCCCCTGGGCCATGGAGAATGGAGAATGGACCCAGGGCGAGCAGAAGTAAAGAGGCCCAGGGACACACACACACACACACACCAAAAAAAACGAATCCCAGGATTCCCCCTATTTTTCCCCATATGTTCTAAAGTTTCGTCTCCCCCCCCCCACTTTCCACATTTCACACATATTTTCCTGGGGATCGGCGATTATTTGTGTCTGTGTGCTTTTCCCCCTCCTGAAGAAGCACTCCCAGGGAAGCGGTCTTTCCTAGATTTCGAAGCTCCTCATCGGGCACGGGGACCATCAAAAACTGATCCGGGATGACAAACCATCCCATGGGAAGGGGTCGGGACCTCTGGGGCCGCGGATTGAAACAAAAAACAGATTCGTGGATGTCTGGGTGGGAGCGAGAGGAATAGGTGACAACATGTGAACCCTACCCCCACCCCCCACGACTTCTAAGGGCAGGGGGGGGTCATCTCGCTCGGGGGCTCTCGAACGACGTGAACCTCCCACCCCTTAGAAACCGTGGGGGGTGGGGGTAGGGTTCACAAGTGGTCACCGAAAGAAACGATGGCAAACCGAGTCCCACACCTTCCACCCACCCTCTCAGATCGCATTGCATCCCCTCCCATCTGCCAGAGTGGATGCCTCAGGGGGGGTCGATCTCCAAGTGGCAGCCACGGGACCTAACCAGGTTGCTGGCGAGGTCTGTTTTTTGTGGGGGAGAAGTGAGAAACGAGAGGAGAAGCAGGAGAAGGATGTGGAGGGGGCGGATGGGGGGAAAGGAGAGGGACGGCAGCGACGACGAGGGATTCGGATCCAGAAGCGTGGCGCGCGCTGGGACGAGAGCGTGTTTCCGATAGACAGGAGCGCGGGCTGTCGCTCGACGCGAATCGGCTCGGCAAAGCCGGCGTGCGCTCTCGCGCGTCGGCGGACCTCCTTTGGGCAACGCCTTTCCCATCCATGGAGTGCGAGCACGACGAGTCATAGCACGTGGTGTTTTCGCATGACGCCCATGTCGGAGGGTGTGAAGTGAGAAGGAGAAAGCCGTCTCACAGAAGACGGCGGGACTTCTCAGAAGCCCTCCGGGCTTCTGAGAACTTCCCAGTGTCTTCGGGTGATGCTTAGAAAATTTCTCAGAAGGCCAGGGGACATCCGAGCCTTCTGAGAAGGCCCGCCCCTTCCCACTTCCCCCCCTCGCTCGCCGCCGACCATGGCCCGTCGGCAAGCAAAAGGTAGGCCCTCACCAGGACAGCCAGAGTTGGGTGGGCACCGGCAGCACGCGAGCACCCCGCGCCGCAGCGCAGCACGCCCAGCACTGCGGCGACTGCGCGCGAGCGTCCCGCGCAGCAGCGCAGTGTTGGGCGTCCAGGCGTCGCCTAAGGGAGGGTCCAAAGGGCCCATTCAGAGTGCGTGGTGCATGGTAGAGCACGTGATTGCATGGCGTAGAAGAGCATGGCAGAGCGTAGCATGTCAGAGCGTGGCGTGGTATTCCGTGGTGAATCAGTGCATCACAAAGCATTGAAACGCGAAACGCCGCATCGGAGAGCAACACAGAACACAACGCCGCAGCGCATGTCATGGCATGACACGGGGTTCCTTGGAGGGTCGGTGGATCGCCTGGGTGCGGCGTGGAGCCAATCTCGAAGCATACATCCAAAAAGAAGAACACATCCACGGACGTAAGTATACCTCCATGCATTGATGAAGGAAGTTCGGTATGCTCGTTGTGCGAGACGTACGACAGCAAGGTGAAGCGTCTGAAGTGCAACACCGTGGCAGGAACCGACAGCGACGGCCTCTTTCGGAAGATCATCATTCTCCTTTCTCGAGCGTGAGAAGGGCGTGAAGCTCGTGGGAGTGGCGTCTCCACCAGACTTCGAGCACAGGATGCAGGGCGCGATCGACGAGTGAGCCCTGCACTTGAAGTTCCAGGCCCGTGCCGCCGCCAGCCGAGAGACAGTCCCCCCTTGCCTCGTCCTCCTCCTTCGCCTCCCCCTCCTCCTCCCCCTCCTCCTCCCCCTCCTCCCCTCGGTGCAACCAACGGTACTCGACTGTCAAATCGATTTCAGGAAGCTCGTCAACGTTTCTTCGAGCGTTCGAATCCCGAGAATGAACAGCAGTGAGACTTGTGCGTGCACTTGTGCTACTAGTATGAGTGCACTGCGTTCGCGGCCCTGGATGCGTCGTGCTGATCCAAGGCTTGCGTGCACTGTCGTCGGGAACGTTGTGGCAGCTCTCTGGGGGGTGCCCGTTTTGGTGGATCACTTGAAACCTTTCGACTGCTGGATCTCAAGGGTGCCCGTTGTGGTGGAACTTCGGGGGTGCTCGCTTTGGTGGATATTTGGGGGCGATCGCTTGGGGAGATACTTTGGAGTGCTCGTTTTCAGGGGGTCTTTAGGAGTGCTCGCTTTGGCGAATCTTGGGGGGGGTGCTCGTTGGGGCGGATCTCTGGGGAACGCGATTTTAAAGAGCCAGAAGTGTAGAAATGAAGCTAAAGATGAAGCGAGATCGCCTTCTCTGGAAGGACCGACAACATCCAGATTGGAAAACGCACATGCAGACGCAGCTAGTGTACATCATGTGTGTAAAAAACATGCGCGGAGGGGGAGCGAAAGCGTGGAATTGGAACAACACCTGGGAAAGGCCAAATATATTCATATCGCGTGAAAACAATGCGCGGAGGGGGGCGGGCGACAGTCGGACCTAGGGCAGAAGAACATCCTTCAAGGGCATGAGACCCTCCGCAGGCCAAACTGAAGAACATCCGAGTGCACCCTCCCCCAAGATACACAAGAACATCCAGCAAGCACGAAGAACATTGGGGTACCGTCCCCGAATCGACCTCGATCTTATACCTCGGTCCGTCCGTGTCTTTTCATGAGCTTCGCGGGAGAGAGGAGAGAAGTACGCACAGTGTGTAAGTACGCAGGGAGGCGGATGGAAGACTTCAATAGTACAGGCCCCGTGCGGCGTGGCCGCTGCCATGGGCCTCCCGCACGCGCGTGGACGAGATGGCGCGCAAGTAGACGAACAGCTGCGCCGTTACCAGCGAGTCGAAGCCCGCCTGCAAGCGCAAACCGCGCAGAATCCGATATTCCCCCTGCATCCTCCTTCTCTTCCTCCTTCTCCTCCTTCTCCTCCTCCCGCGAAGACGACGACGACGACGACGACGACGACGGCGACGGCGACGGCGACGGCGACGGCGACGGCGACGGCGACGGCGACGGCGACGGCGACGGCGACGGCGGCAGCGGCGGCGGCGGCGGCGGCAGAGGTGTGAGGGCCGACACCGCTCCCCGAGGAGAAATTCTGAGATGACGATCGCTGCATGAGGAAATGCAATGCAAAGGATCTCGCGCAAGAGGAGGTACAAGTGAGGGAGGGGAGGGGAGAAAAGAAAGAGGGGAGGCTGATCCACTCACAATTCTGCAGATCGCCGCCCTAGAATCACGTGCGCGCTTCGCGCGCGCGCATAGGTTCTACCGCAGGCCAGGAGCATGGTTCAACAAGTTCGGCCTCACACTCTCAGGAACGCGTACTACATGCGTCAACGCCCCTTTTAGGCGTGGACTAGAAGCTCGGCCATATGGTCATTCGTGGGAGGAGGGCGTCCTGGTTGGGTAATCCTACTGAGCTCAAGTGGCACGTGCGCTCGTGGGGGCGTCTCCCAAGGACTCCTGGGAGGCCCAGCACGGGAGTGCCCCAGAGGCAGGGGAGGTGGTTCGAAGTCGCTCCACCAAGCCGCCCTCCCCGTGACCGCTCCTCGCGACGGGGGAGGGCGCCCCGCAAATCGCAGGTGGCCGGAGACCGCTCCACCGGCCCGCCATGGAGGCCGCAAAACGGCGGCGACCGTCAAACGGCGGCGGGCCCGAGGCAGGAGAAGCGAGAACACGGGGGTTATGGAGGCCTCCTGCGGCCCCCCCGCGTCCAGAGCTCCCGACCCCCCCCTCAAGCGGGCCGTCCAGGCGGCGTGCGGGCAATGGATGATGGCCAAAATGGAGTGGCATGCCTCTGAGGAGGAAAGACCCCCGTAGAGAACAGGGAGAACACACAGAGGCAAGGCCAGGGTAGAGCAAGGAACAGAGCAAGGGCGCAAAGGGCGCAAAAGCTCAAGCACCAGAGTGACCAGAGCCACCCCTGGTCGGGCTGACCCCCCGCATGCGCTGACCAAGTGTGGCCCCCTTTCTACCCCGCCGACGTCAACAACATGAATAAACGTCGACAACATGAATCGCATAATTATATTCATCATCAAGTTCACTAGAGATGCACACTAAACCTGTACTGCATCGACATGGGCAAACACGGCGAGAATCGCGATCTGGTAAAACAACTCAATCGACCGTGGGGCATGAGGGTGGGAAAAGGAGGGAGGGAGAGAGGAAGCCTTTTGGATGTGTTGGAGAAGCTTCTGGGTGCGCCGATGCAGAATTCCCCCTGGAGAGGCTTCCGGAACAGCGAGTAAGCCCCTCTGGGGGCATCGTCCAGGATGTGAGCGCGAGGCGCCATTGGGGCCGTTTCGGGGCTTCGCTTCGCCGCGCCTCATAGTGAGGGCGAGGATGAGGTTTCGGCCCCTGGCCCTGTTTTGGAAGGTGCTGCTGCTCACCCATTGGCCATCCACTGCCACGAGACCCATTCCTTGTCCGTGCTGAATGGAATTTTGTATTGCTCCACCTGCGGGTGTTTCGCGGCCCAAAGTGTCCGAGGCCTGCGGGGGACGTGCGCGCCTCCCACCCGAACGGGGTTGGAGGTGCTTGATCGGCTTGCGCGAGGGCTCCCGCCGAAGTCGGGGATGCCGTTCCCTCGTGAGTGATGTCGCTGATGCGGCCGAGCCAGCACTCGGAATCCGCGCGTTCGCCATAGCGCCATAGCACTCGTGGGCCCAAGTGGGCCCCAAAACGGCCCAAGAGGGCCTCCACGGGAGGCCGGTCAAAGAGAACCCTCGGACGGCCCAGCAGACCCTCAGAAGGCTCCCAAGAAGAGCAAAAGGGGCCCCAAGTATAGCCCCAGACAGCCCCAACACGGCCCAAGAGTGCACCATAAGGGCCGAAAGGTGCCCCAATCAATGTCCAAGACTGCCCGAAAGAGAGGCCCAAGAAAGCTTCAAGGCGGCCCACGAAAGAGGTCACCAAGAGGCCCCAACCGGCGCCAAGACACCATTTCAACGGCTCCCAATAGTGCGCGCTTTTCGGCCAGATGGGCAGCACTGATTCGCCTTACACCCAGCAACATGAAACACATCGGATGTGGTACAACAACATGCGAGAGAAAACACTCGATCGTGTTATCTTAAGGCAGGCTGACACGTAGACGCATGGCTTCGGAACGCGAAAAGAAACACACTGAGCGCAGTCAAGGAGGAGTCGAACATGATGCTTCACACTAGCCTAGACTGGACCAGAGTCCGTAGTATACTGGCGCGACACACTCGAAACACGGCCACCAAAAACGCGGGTAAGAGCACGAGCCCCTTCGCCGACTCTCAGACTCTCCCTCATGTGTGTAATTGAGGGCTCGAGCAAGAACTGGGGGACGCGGCGGCCCGGGAAGCCTGGAGGTTCGGAACTCGGGGCCCTCCGACGATCACACCGAGAAGGTCGCTAGCCCTGCGACGTGCAGGGGTGAGGGGCTCAGCGGGGCACTCGGCAGCGAGGGCGTCGACGTTCGCTGAGCCAACTGCTACCCGAACCCCACGTCTGAAACAGACCTAGACATCCAACGACGTGACTTGCTCACTCAGCGGCCCCAGAGCTATCGACCCCTTCCCTGGGGTCAGTTCTCTGGCCGGGATGAATCCATTTAGGATGGCCCCGGGGATGGATGAGGGCCCCTTGAAGTCGAAACGAAGCGAAACCGCCCAGATTTAGGAAAATGACATCGTCGGAAATCTCGAACGAGGAACGGGCCTGCTACTGGAAGTGAAGGATCAGGACGGAACACGTGGTACCTTTCAGCACGGAGAGATGAGGTGCCAAACGAGAAAACGCGCATCACACGGGCACGGAAGGAGCTCCTCGAGCCCCCAAGTGGCGGCGGGAGAACGAGCAGAGAGAAAGCAGATCTGCCGCTCGGGCCTGCCCTCGCCGCGCAACCTGAGGCTGTCCACCTCCCGGAGCGCGCGGCGGCTCGGGCCCCGGGCCTCGTGCGCCAGCTCGTCCTCGCTCTTCCTGCCGTACCGCTGCGCGGTGGCGGGCGTGAGGTCGAACTGCAGCGGCGGGGCGCCCTCGAGCTCGTCGTAGCGCGCCTCGGGGGGGGGGGGGGCGGGGAGGCAGGGCGGAAAGCGGGGCAGGGACAGGCGCCGATGCAGTCAGGCAGCCCCCTGGAGGGGGAGGGGGAGGAGGAGGAGGAGGAGGGAGGAGGAGGAGGGAGGAGGAGGAGGAGGAGGAGGTGGGAGGATGAAGGAGGAGGAGGAGGATGAGGAGAAGAAGGAGGGAGGAGGAGGTGGGAGGATGAGGAGGAGGGAGGAGGAGAAGAGGAGGAGGAGGAGGAGGAGGAGGAGGAGGATGAAGGGGAGGGAAGAGGAGGAGGATGAAGGGGAGGGAGGAGGAGGAGGAGAAGGAGAAGGAGGAGAAGGAAGAGGAGGAGGAGGAGGAGGAGGAGGAGGAGGGATGAGGGGGGAGGACAATCGGCATCTAACTGGGGGTCTTGCGCCTGATGGCGCCTCGGTGGCGCGGTGGCAACCTGGCAGTCAAACCAAGGAATTCGATGCCGAGGAAAAGTGATCCTCGGCAGCGAAGTCTGCTGCATTTCCACACGGGACGCCCCCGGGAGACCCCCTAAAACTGTCACCGAAGGGGTCGCGCGGGCGGTTCCTACAGGGAGGCATTCGCGGCAAGAGACAGCAACCACAGACGACATGGCTGCTGCTGCTGCTGCTGCTGCTCCCGCTATCCTCCAGCGCCTGTTGCGCCGCCCGAATGAACAACTGCAGGGTTGCGGGGACCTCAAATTCGATTCGGCTCGTGAGCGTTTTCTTGTCTGGCGTTTCGATCTTGGGCGGACGGGGGAGGGGGAGGAGGGGTGTCTGGCTCCAGACCTCTGCTTGATGCGACTGTTTGCAACATTGCGTCATATGGGAGAGGCTTCACCTGCTTGAAACAGGCGCCAAAAACAGCCAACATCTACTCCATGGTGGGGGGAAAGGGTGCAAAAGCCCGTGCCGATCGGCAACACAATGAACAAGAAAATAACCACCCTGACTTCCCTTGCTTGGGATGCCTTCTCTCTCTGGGACACGTGAAACGTGAAGGCCGCAACTCTATGTGTGCTGTAAGAGGGGAGGGGCGCGCGGGCAGGGCTTTCGGAAACCTCGGAACATACATTACGAAAGCGCGCCGCAATGCCACTCGGCCAAAAGACAGATCTCGGTGTGGAGCCGTGAATACGTATATGTTGTCTTTTACTGTATGCACAAAGCTTGGACGAGGCCGAGGCTACACCCTGGGCACTTCTCCGTGTCACCGTTGGCCTTGCTGGCCTCGGTGAAGGCTCGAGATCGACAAGCCTCGCGCATCCTCTCGGCCTGGAAATCTACCCACTGGTGAGCATTCCTTGCCCGCTGCCTCGTCTTCAGGAAGAACGGCAACCTCGGCCCCAGGACCCCGAACGGGCGTGGGAGGAGGGGGTGGAGGAGGAGCGACAAAGGTCGCGCCCGCCAGGGGTTTAACTCGGGGCTTAACGAAAGGCGTGCCGCACGTTTTCACCCCAGGTCCCAGGTTCGGGGGCGATCGCGGGCCACGTGTGTAAACGCAGCCCAAACACGGTGGCAGCATGGTCCGAAAGCAACCAGATGTGCCACCGTACCCCTGGCAGATTGAGGCGTCATGGTGTACCGAGTGCAGTCTGGTAAGGCTTCTGTGTCGGCGGCGAGCGAGGGGAGGAAGTGAGAAGGAGACAGCCTTCTCAGAAGGCTCTGAAATCCCCCCAGCCTTCCGACAAGTTTTCCGACCCTTCCCGAAAGACACAGAAAACGTCTCAGAAGGCGGGAAGGTTTCTGAGAAGCCCCGCCGCCTTCTGAGAAGGCATTCTCCTTCTCACTTCCCCCCCTCGCTCGCCGCCGAATTTCGGCTGCCTTGGTGGCCCTCGTGACCGTCTCGGAAGCCCTGCGGAGCAGCCCCAGCGCGGCGTCGGACCGCCCAGGAAGCTTCGGGAGGGGGAGCCGGGGCGTGCAACGGAGCGCGGGAAGAGGGGCTTAGAAGACGTACAGAAGCTCTACCAGACTGCACTCGGTATACTGGCGCGCCTCAAGTCGGCAGCGAGCGAGGGGGGAAGTGAGAAGGAGAAGGCCTTCTCAGAAGGCGGCGGGGCTTCTCAGAAGCCTTCGCGCCTTCTGAGACGTTTTCTGTGTCTTTGGGGAAGGGTCGGAAAACATTTCGGAAGGCCGGGGGACTTCCGAGCCTTCGTAGCAAGCCCGCCCCTCCCCACTTCCCACCGGGCTCGCCGCCGAATAATGGCTTAAACATGCCTCCAGAGGCACCAAACAGCTCAAGCGCCCAATAGGTCCCAAGAGGCGACCAGGGCCGATCGCAACCACTTCGGGCCGATCGTCGGCCACTCGGGGCCGATCACAACCAGCTGCGATCGGGCAGAAGTGGTTGCCATGTGTTTGGGCCGCTTTGGCATTGGTTGATTCAGAGAAGGGTCTCAGGAGCGTTTCTAGAATGAGTGGTTTCCTTTACGGTTCCCAAGGGGATTTGGCAGAGCGGTTGCGATGCGGCCGATCACCGACGGTTCGACAGCTCGGCCGTCATGACTGCAAATCACACGAATTGCAACGCAATGTACTTCAAGACTTCCAAAGTCCCAAGAGCTCAAGACTTCTCATGATATCTCAGGTGCCCAAATGGTTCCACCAAATTCCTCAGGGTCCTTTGAGGATGCCACAGGGCTCTCCATGTTATACATCACAACCTCTTGCGGCTCCTCAGCGGCTCTTCAAAGGCATCTCAGAGAGTCTTCAAAGGCTTCTCAGAAGTTCGACAACAACTCTTCAGCGCCGTCCCTTCAGAAACCTTACCGTTGCGAACCAGAGGCTCCTGAGTGGATCCTCGGAAGATCATCAGGGTGTTGAAATATCATTTCGCAGGGTATTGCAACGTTTTACCAGGTATGAAAAGATCGCTTTGCAAGATATTGCATGATGGTTTTGCAAGGTATTGCAAGATAGTGTTGCAAGGTATGGCAAGATCGTTTTGCAAGGTATTGCAAGATCGTGTTGCGAGGGTTGAGTGGTTGGTTTGGGGTTTGGTGTTTGGTGTTTGGTGTTTGGGGTTTGGTGTGTTGTGTTTGGTGTTTGGGGTTTGGTGTTTGGTGTTTGGGGTTTGGTGTTCGGTGTTTGGTGTTCGGTTTGGGGGGTTCAGTGTTCGGTGATTGGTGTTTGGTGTTTGGTGTTTGGTGTTTGGTGTTTGCTGTTTTGTGTTTCGTGCTTGGGGCTTGGGGATTTGTTCGGTGCCTGGTGGTTGTAATCCGGTGTTCGGCTTGTACTTTTTCAATAAGAATCCTACAGATGCGATCAGTCCGTGTCCAGTGGTCGTAATCCTTCCGAAATGCTTCGTGAACGGGCCGAAATGGTTGCGATCGGCCTTGCTCCCGTCCCAAGAGGCTTCCACAAGGCTGGAAGACACCCCCAAGACGGTCTCCATGAGGGTCTCGAGAAGCCAAAAACCCACGCATTTCGGTCGAAGATCGGTCCGCTTGCAGTCTTCAAGGGCCCAAGGGAGCTCACTGAGAGCCCCAAGAAATCCCTAGACGGCCCAGGATGACCCCAAGAGAGCAGCAAGCCTGAGATCCGACGTTGCCAAAAAAATGCAGCATCGCAAAACATCACGCCCGCAGCCCTAGACCCCATCTTTCTGCGTCAATGTTCTAGCCGGATCGATGTGCGAGAGGGTCCCGGGGCCCGAAAAAAACCGAGAACGCCCAGCTCGAAAAATTGAAACGTGAGAACCTCAGGGCATGGATTTGTTTTTCCAATCAGATTTTGCCCAAGGGGCTCTGATCTGTGCTTGAAGGGCAGGTGGGTGACCGTGCTGGTCCTGGCGGGCCGGCGTTCCTCGGGGTTGTTTTTGGTGTTGCTTCCTTGGCCCCTGAGGGTGTTTGGCTCTGTTTCCCCCCCTTTTGGTTTTGGTCTCCCCCTCTTTTGGTTTGGTCCCCCCTCTTTTGTGTTGGTCCCCCCCCTTATGTTTTGGTCCCCCCCTTTTGTTTTTGCCGAGGGCCCCTCAAGAGGGACGCAAAACGGCCTCAGAGGGCCGGACGGCCCAAGAATGCCCCAAGACGAGGACCGCGACGTCCCGAGAGACCCCACAGACGGCCAAGAGAGCCCCAAGACGGCCTGACAGGGCCCCACGACGGCCCAAGAAGGCCCCAAGAGGACTCCTCCTCCTCCTCCTTCTCCTCCTCCTTCTCCTCCTCCTTCTCCTCCTCCTTCTCCTCCTCCTCCCCACCAGGACTGCCCCACGGTAGCCCAAGACAGCCTAGAAGAGATCCTCAAGAGAAGGAGACGAGAGGTGTCCCCTGTGAGGGCTTTCCAAGCGCTGCTCGAAGGTTCTCAACATGGAGTGCTTGGCTGTCACGGTGGCAGATTAGCCGTAGGCAGCTGGATAAGGACACCAGTCGAGTATCAGGATTAATTTGCCAAGCGTCTCGCTGTGGCGTACAACCAAATGTCCCCGGCTACGTGTTTTGCAGGAAACCAGGCATGCACCCGTGCAGATGGACGGACGGTGTGTGAGCGCAGGCATTTGTTTGGTTGACTAAATCAGGGTGTGACACGATTGCGCTCGTCGTAGAACGGGCACGAGAAACTGCCTGGGCGACCATCACATACCATCGATCCCGCCCGCACTTTATGTGCATCGCAATGCGACATCTGCATGCACATCCAATACCAGGTTTCCCGTGTGGCTTGCGCTTGCGGCCCAGGTGAGGGTGCCGTATTCCGCCGTATCCGAAACCTCTATTCGGGCGCCGTGGCATAGCGGGCATTCAGCACACTTCGCCGTTTCTTGGCCATGGCGACTAATGCGGATCAAAACGATCTCGCGTGGCACACGCCTACAGCCTACAGTACCTTCGTGTCCGGCAGACCATCTGGACGACCCCATCAAGCCTCGGCCTGGAGCTGGAGATCTCGTGCTCATGAGAACGGCGCTCCTACAAAACGCCGGGCCCAAGCTCGCTGGCGTATCTCCATCGCGTTCTTGATCTAAGTTGTGTCTGTTCGCCACTTCTCGTCGTACATCCAGTAGTGCAGGTCAACTCGTCGCACACCATCTACCTTCACCGCCTACAGCGTCGGCTCGAAATTCCACGCGCGGCTCCCTGCTGCGCTCTCCTCAACGACATGGATATCAGGTCGAATGCGGAATGCGGAAACCGACCACCTCCGCCACCACCAAACGCAGCAACCCAGACATCCGGCTGCTCCAATTTCTTCGATGCGTGGGCCCTGGAGGTCCGGACCACGTCCCTAAGGCTGGTTTGTCGGCCCCAACCGTTTTTTGACGGTCCCGAGGCCCGACGAGGGCCCCCGGAGGCCGAAACCGGCCAAAACCGCCCGCTCCGAGTTTTTTGGAGCGTCGGATCTCTGGGAAGCTGGCTCCAACGACCTTGTCCTTGCTCGCCTGGCAGCCTGGCAACCACCAGGCAGAGCCCACCAGGCAGAACGACGGGATCCTCGCCGTGAAGAGTGTGGCGCATGGGGGCGCGATGCTCGACCACCACAACCGGCCCTTCCTACACTTTCTCGGCAAGAACTTCAGGTATCGGGGAACAAATCAGGTTGTTGCTGCGAAGCCTCGTGACAAGCACATGAGCAGTTAAGATAAGCGAGCGCGGTGCGCAATACCTCCGCACAGCTGTCCTCCAGCTGTCTGCTGGGATGATCGCTATATTCTCGCTGGGAAAACCGCAGGCGTCGCGGACGGCAGCGGCGTGCCTGCCGCTCTCACAACTGAAACACAAACTTCCGGAGGCCCGCGCAGACTTCTTGGATCGGCGCTGGAGCCCCCTCCCCGGCGGGCGCCGCCGGAAGCGCCGCCAGAGGGCTCCAGCGCCGATCCGGGAAATCCGCGCGGACCTCCGAAAATTCGTGTTCACATCGTGATTAGCGTCTCCGAAGGTTCTCCGTGGGGAAGACACTGCGCTTCAGGCCAGCCTCTATGTCCCAGGAGTCGGCCAGCTTACGGATGGCCCCTATCACCATCTAGGGTCTGGCCTCACGAGGGCAGGGCATCATTGAAAGGGCCCAGGGGCACACGGATAGACACAAATTCCAGGATTTCCTATATGTTGACACAGTTCCTGGACTTTCCTCTTCATCTACGCTGCCTAAATTCTGGCCCCCATTTTCATGGGAATCAAAGCTTGTTTTGCCTATGTAGATTCATCCCTCCTGAATCCTCCCCGTCCCTGGCGGCCACCACCCACCTCTCGACGTCTGCGCAAGTCGTAAGTCTCCTCGACGTGTCCAGCCGACAGGACTCGAGCGCGCCTGCTCCGAGCACTTGCCCTAGCCAAAACACAACTCCGCTGTGCAACAAAACAACGAGCAGTGCGGGCTGGCGGTGTGTCCACTGTGCTGGGAATAACCCAATCCGCAGAGGACGAATGGACTTGACCCCTACTGCTACGTACTTCGCATTGACCGTGGCCAGGCGTTGGAATCGTATCAACCAAAGCTGCACAACAGACGGCACTCGCCTCGGCAAATCGTGCAACGACGATGTGAGGATGTCGCCCGACAACACGCGGAGGAAGGGGCCAGAAGCTCAAACACATAATGCACATGCTGGTGACACAATCGCGTGGCCATGACGAGTAACAATTCAAATGCTGGCCACCGCTTCTACTCCAACTCTGGAGGGGGAACGGTAGGGGGGGACCCGCTCGGGGGGGGGGGGGGGGGAGGGAAACAACGACGTGGAATCGGCGATGCATCGCCGATTGATCGGCGATAGGCCCCGCAGGGCGAAACCGGACGTTCTTCCTGGGCGGGGTGGGCTATCGGGCCCCGATCGGCGACGAGTGGGCGATTCGGGGTCGATGTATCCCCCCCTGAGCCATCCCCCATGACGTTGCCCCTGAAGCTGGGCACTCTCCCTCGAGGAGGAATCAGGAGGGAGCCGGAGGGGCGCGGAAAGGGGGGGGACCATCGACGGCGGGCGAGCGCAGGCACCGCCGCTCGTGGCGGAGGCACGCAGCCCGCGAGGATCACGACAGGGAAGGCCTGGAGCCCACGGCGAGAGAAGCGGTCCGAGCAATCACGGGCTGCGAGAGGGAAGGGGGAGGAGAAGCACGAAGAGGTGGAGGGAGCAGACTCGGCGGTGGACAGACCTCCCTTGAACCACCCTTCAGTGAAAACGGCCCAGGACCGAAGCCGACGGACCTGGACTCGCCGATCGACGCGTCAGGGCGGGAGGTCGATCAGCCTCCGACAGACGACAGGAGAGGAGCAGGAAGAGGACGGAGGCAATGGGGAAGAGGCAGAGGAGCGGGCAGCCAGCGGGCGGCCGACGGCCTTGGCGTCTTCGAAGAACTTCAGGAGGCCTGCCCGGCCCGCCCGTCTGGATGCTCCCCCGTCGTCCGCGCCGCTCTCGAGACGATGAGGGCACCGAGCTCAGGGCATCTGGAGTAATGCGGAAAGGGCTCGAGAATGAGGGGGAGGGGGGAGGGGCGAGGGAGAAGAACGGCAGGAGGAGAGCAGGGGAGGAAGAGGACAGAGCAGGAGGGAGGAGGGGGGAAAAGAAGGGAAAGGAGGGCACAAAGGGGATGTTGTGGAAGAGCACGGGGGAGATGTGGCAAGCCGCACTGGACCGGGACGCGTCCATGCCATTTTCGCGGGCCAAGGAGGGCTGGAACAATAACGATGCTCAACGCGTGCCGTGCCTGAGCCAAAAGAGAAAACACCAACCAGCATGTTGCGCCTTTTCCGACATCGCACTTCGCCTGGCCACGTACAGCGCCGAGGTGCTGTCGGCGAGCCAGAGCGCACAATGGCCGCGGAGCCGTCGACACTCTCGGGAAATCTCTGACCCGGGTCAGTGCAAACCCGGGTCAGTCGGGCCTTGCAGGATCCTGCAAAATCCTGCACGATCCTGCGGGATCCTGCAGGACCCTGCGCCCAAACCTGAGTCAATGCGACTCTGACTCTGCAGGTCCCTGCAAGAGCCGGCGCTCTGGCTGGCCCCCGTTTGCATTAACCACCGTCCCTTGAGCCCCGAATCTCCTTCGCGCAAGAGGGCCCGGGGAAAAAGGGGGCTGCAGAGCATTCGACAGGGGTTCGCCCGCGCCGCAATGCCGTGCCTTCTGCTGCGGCGCCCCCCGTGGCGAGACGACAGCGCGAGGAATTGATGCCAAGCCTGTGCGCCGCAACGCGCTGGCGCGGCCTACATCCTACATCGAAAAAGCCGCCGCCTGGGCGCGCGATCTCGCGTCGCGCGTCGCCGGGGACACCAAAAGGTACTGATACCGCTACTCCACGGACCTTTCCCTGGGGCGCATTCTGACCAGGATTTCGAGGCGAATCCAGTGGTGGCGACGAGGGCCTCCCAGGAGGCTCCAAAAGGGGAAAACGAGGGAAGGGCAGCTGTATGGATACCTGTTCCATCTCTGACGCGTCGCGCGTCGCTGGCCGCTCTGAAAGGGAGAGCCTTGCAGCCGCGAAGAGGGGCCTGGCGCCGAGAGACGCATCTAACGCGCACCACAAACAATTTCAAACGTAACCCGGTTCTGCCGCTCGCGAAGTACAGTGGAAACGATGTCATAAGGAACCCTACATCCGCCGACCCTGTCAGCGTGTGGAAGAGGCTGTTCCGTTTGACTCGTCCTCGTCGTCGTGGTCGTTGTTGTCGTCGTCGTCGTCGTCGCTGTCGCCGTCGCCGGTCCCCTCCCTTTCCCTGAGCCTGGCGCCGCTGCCTCCACTTTCACTGGGCCCTCCTCCTCGAGCGCGCCAGCCACAGCGAAATTGAGCAGCGCTGTAGTTGAGTCGAAAGGAAGCCCCTTCCCTTTTATCCCTTCCCCGCCGGGGGGGTGTCCCGGGGGAGGTCCCGGGGGAGAGCCCCGGGGAGGTACCAAGGGAGGTCCCGGGGGAGGTCCCGGGGGAGGTCCCGGGGGAGGTCCCGGGGGGTCCCGGGTCAGATACGACTCCCCTCCGGGCGGTTCGGGAGCCCAGACAATCCCCAAGAGGCCCCCAAGATTGCCCCAAGACAGCCCAGGAGAGCCCAAAATTGCCCAGGAGGCCTCCAAGAGCGCCTCGAGACGGCGTACGAGGAGCCCTGGACGGCCCAAGACGGCCTCAAGAGAGCCCCAGGCTGTCCCAAGAAAGCCTCTGGCCTCCTCTTCCTCCTCCTCCTCCTCCTCCTCCTCCTCCTCCTCCTCCTCCTCCTCCTCCCCCTCCCCCCTCTGCTCCCCCTCCTCCTGCTCTCCTCTGCCTCCTTCTCCTCCTCGTCCTTCTCCTCCACAACCTTCTCCCCCCTCCTCCTCCCTCATCCACCTCCCCCACCCTTCCTCCACCTCCCACTCATCCTCCTCTCCCTGCCCCCCCTTGATTTCATCTTCGTCGTTCTCACGGTCGGCGGCACTGGCCGTAAGGCCTTCGCAATAAGGGACGAGGGCTCTTCTTTCCTTAAGTTAGACCTCGATTTCCCAATCGAATACCCATAGAAAACCTGAGACAAACTGTAAAACAGTTAGGGGGCACTGAACCCCTCCCCAACGAAAAGGTTTCCTTCAACAGCGGCCCGACTATAATGGCTGACTGGCTACTGACTAGTCGCACCTATCAGCAGGCAAATCTTACGTTTGGCCGCCAAATGCGCAACTCGTGGCGCAATCAATAACAAACAATAACGTGCCGTGTTAGCTTCGGCCACCCAATACGCGACCTATGGCGCAACCGTTTTGCGGGCCGCGTCAGTTTCGGCCGCCCAGCACGCAGCCTCTGGGGCAAGGAGTAGCAAGTCGCTAACCATTCAGCCACCCAACGCGCAACCTGTGGCGCAACCAATAGCATGCCGTTTTAGTTCTGGCCGCCCAAATGCGGAGCCTATGACGCAACCGTTTTGCGGGCCTTTTCAGATTCAGTCGTCCAATGTGCAACCCATGGCGCAACCGTTAGCAGGCCGTCGTAGTTTCGGCGACCCAATGCACACCTTATAGCAACACCGCTAGCATACCGCTAAGTTTGGCCTCCCAATGCGCAAGCGATGGCCCATGGCGTAACCAATAGCATGCCGTGTGAATTGCGGCCGCCCAGAGCGTAACCCATAGCGCAACCGCAAGCAGACAGATTGATGTTCGGCGGGCCCATGGGGCAACCAATAGCAAGCTGTTTTAGTTTCGGCCGCCCAATGCTCAAACTATGTCAGGGTAAATGGGGTGGAAGAAGACGACGGATGGGACGGGGCGGGAGAAGGACGAGGGACGATTGGGAACAACTCCTGCAAGGTCTGCGTAATAAATATTAACCGATACTCAGCCCAATTAACAGGCCGATAAACCGGATTATGCCAGACTAAGCCTGGCGTTATGCCGAGTTACAGGGGATTCAGCTGGATTGAGCGCGATTTAGTCGGATTCCGACCACGGCTAAACCAGCGCTGATGATGCATTCAACCTCCGACCAAGAGCGAGGGAAGGACGCATGGGAAGAAGAGGGTGAAGGAAGGATGGGAGGAGGCGAGGAAGGAGAGGAGGATGGCTCCTAAGGGCTCTGGGACGTGAGCTCGCGCCCGTGGGATAGAAAGATGTGCCCAACGCTGCTGGACGGGACCGTTGGGAACAAGGGCCTCCTGCAGGTCCTGCCCGGCCACTTCGCGCCGCTCCAACAGGCGGGCAGGCCGGGAGCAAATCTCGTCAACTGCCGAACAGAGCTCGACCACGTACTGTCAAAACGTGTACTATCAAGGACGGGTGGTACGGACGCAAGACCCATGGAGGCCGAAGCTGGGATTTGTTTGGGGCGGCGGGCGACCAGTGAAAACGGCAACGGACGGGCTGCAGAGGCAAGGACACACTGGGTGCCCTAGATGAAGGCGCGCGTCCTTACTAGGCGCGTTGACTGTAGGGCCAAATCCGCTCAAAATCAATCCCTGGACCCCTCCCGGGGTCCATCTGGCGCAACTTCAATCCCGGGGCCCAGAACGCCCCCAGAGGCCGAAAAGGGCAACAAACCTGCCCGAACCCAGAACCTCGACTGCATGTCCCGCCCCAGCCAGGCGGAGGCGCCAGCGAACGAACGGGGCGCAACAGCGGCGCCTCCGCTCGGCACGCTGCTGCGGAGCACGCGCCGATCTTGGGCCAACCACGGCGGCCGCAGGGACTGCCCGCCACAACGTGCTGCGCCTTGCCCAAGGATGCCTGGCCGAGCCCCAGCCCCGCCCCAGCTGGGCGGAGGCGACGACGACGAAGACGACGAAGACGACGACGACGACGACGACGATGACGACGACGACGACGACGACGACGACGACGCCCGACGACGACGACGCCCAGCGCCCAGCGCCCGGCGCCCGGCGCCCGGCGCCCGGCGTACGACGCCCGACGTACGACGCCCGACGTACGACGCCCGACGCCGCCTGCGCCGCTCGACGCCGACGCTCGAATGCTGCATGCCTCGCCCCAGCCGGGCGGAGGCGCAAAGCGAAGCGAAGCTCGGCGACGACCGCACGGGCGCAGGTGCGCCGCGCTGCCCCAGAGCTCCGAGGATGGGATTTTGTTCAGTCTGGCGGTTGTTTCCTGGAGTTCGGCCTCCGGGTCCCGTTCTCGGGCCCAAGGGTCATCAAAAGTGGAGCCGGGGCGAAAAACCACCTCGGGGGAAGGGCTCGGGACCTCTGGGGCCGCGGATTGAAAAAATCGTATCGGCGGATGTCTGGGGCCCCGCTCAAGACCGGCGGAAACACAAGGCCCACACAACACAAAGCCAACCGCACACCGATCCCACGCAAGGCGGCACAAGGCCTGTGCGAAACGCAACGAAAGAAGACGAGGCCAGGACGTGAACAAAGTCGGACCCGGGATAAATTGGATCTCTGAGGTCCGGCGGTTCTAGAGGATGTATCGGGCGCTGGGGCCGTTCCAGAGCGCTCCGGTAAGCTCTGAGAGCGTTCCCGAACGCTCTGGAAAGATGTATCCTGGCCCTCGCCCCGCCCGACAAGGCACAAGAAGCTCAGTAGAATTGGTCCATGCCGTCCCCGCCACTTCCAATCCTCCTGCCAGTGTCCGACAAGAAGGGGGGAGGAAAAAAGAATCCTCCCACGCGCTATCAGGACATGCCCAGACCAGCGCTCTGCGCTCTGAGCCATCCCCGACAGGGACTGCTCAGCTCTGATGGCAGACGAATGCTTCCGCACACGAGGGCACGAAGAAGAACGCGAGGAAGAGGAGGGGGAGAACGAGGAAGCAGACGGAGAAGAAGGAGGAAGGAGGGAGGGAGGAGGACGAGGAGGGCGGAGCCAGCCTGCGAGCATACGTGCAGCTGAGCATCAAGACTGCCCCACCTTCGCGCTCGCGCGCTCGCAACGCCACAGGGCAAGCCCGTGGAAGTGCACGCGAGAGCGCAGGCGGGGCCAGTCTTCGAGCGATGTGCGCTTCCGGATCTGCCCACCAGGCCCGCCCCACCCAGGCGCTTGAAGCGGCCCAGGGCCCCGTGGAGGTGGGCGGTGTCGTACACCTTATGCTGCCGAGGCTCTCTGCCACCGCTGCCGCTTGACGTCCACAGCGACAGGCAACCGAAGCAAGCCGCTCTCTGACGGCAGTGTCACCATCGCCGTCGTCGTCGTCGTCGTCGTCGCCGTCGTCGTCGTCGTTGTCGGCGGCGTCGTCGGCGCCCTCCTCCATCCGCGCATAGGCGGCACGGAATCATCGGCACAGCCATCTAAGAACACACGCAATCCAATGGTTGCACCATAACTGCTGATTGCGCCCGTGCTCTACCAATTGCGAATTCTAAAATCCGAGCGGCCTGTCCCTTTGAACTACGTGTCTTCCAGCTAGAAGGAAGGGGAAGCTAATGCTCCTTTAAAATGTCATCTCTCGCCTGAGTAGCAGAGCCATGGGGCGCTCTTCGATCAAGGGGGCGTTCCACACAATGACGTGGAACGCCTCTAGGTAGTTGTACGGAGAAGACGTGGCACGGAAGGGTGTATTGCAACATCGTCGATGCATCCTGGTGCTGCTCCACCACGGGAGCACGACGGGGAGAAGCCGGGTGGGCCAACGTCGAAACGGATCTCAAGGGATACTGAGCATCTGGGAAATGTCATGTTGCACCAGTTCGACATAGACATTCATAGATACATACACATACACATATACATACATACACACATACATACATACATACATACATACATGCATGCATGCATGCATGCATGCATGCATGCATACATACATACATACATACATAAATACATACATACATGCATACATACATCCATACCCACATACCCACATACACACATACACAAATACACACATACCCACATACACACATACATACATACATACATACATCCATCCATCCATCCATACATACATACGTACGTACATACATACATACATACGGCCCTACCTACCTACCGACCGACCGACCGACCTACCTACCAGCATACATACATACGACATACATACATACATACATACATACATACATACATGCATACATACATGCATGCATGCATGAATGCATACATACATACATACATACATACATACATACATACATACACACACACATGCTTACATGCATGAATGCATGCATGCATGCATGCATACATAAATACATACATACATACATACAAACATACAGCCATACAGATATACAGACATACAGACATACAGACATACAGGCATACAGACATGCATACATACATACACACATACATACATACATACATACATTCATACATATACACACATGCATACGTGCATGCATGCATGCATACATACATACAGACAGACAGACAGACATAAAGACATACAGCCATACAGCCATACAGACATACAGACATACAGACATACAGACATACAGACATACATACATACATACATACATGCATGCATGCATGCATACATACACATATACACGCATACATACAGCCATCCATACATACATACACACAGAGGTGCATACATTCTATAACCATCGCGCGCGTTTCTCGCGCGCTCAAGTTCTAGCTAGGATCCTCGTAATCGTCACCATCGCCATCCTCGTCGCCATCATCTTCATCGTTATCGTCATCGACATCGTCATCATCACCATCACCATCACCATCAACACCATCAGCAACACCCTCGTCATCCCCGTCGTCATCATCGCAATCGTCATCATCGTCATTATCGTCAACCGCATCACCATCATCATCGTCATCATCGTCATCATCATCGTCATCATCATCGTCGTCATTATCACCATCGTCATCGTCATCGCAAGCATCGTCGTCGTCGTCTTCGTCGTCGTCCTCGCCCTCAGCATCCCTCCCCAAGGCCGAGCGTCTCGGTAACTGGGGTTGTGGACATGATGCCGCCATGCCTGGGTGATGTGCCAGTGGAGTGCTGGATGCCTGTTCGGATCTGGGTGGTGGAAGTTTTTCGGAGGCCTCTTGGAGAGCTCTAGGGGGGCTCTTGGGTACTTCGTGGTTGCCTCTTGGGGCCCCTTGGGAGTCTCCTGAGGGCCTCTTGGAAGCCTCTTGGGGCTTCCTGGGGGCCTCTGGAGGGCCTCTTGGGGACTCCTGGGGGCTTCTTGGGGTCCTCTGTTGGGCGAGGGCTCGAAATGTCGGTTCGTGTTTCCCTTCTGTGTCCTAGAACCACGCGCGCGCTTCGCGCGCGCTTAGGTTCTTGTCGATTCTGGACACGGCTTCAATATCTAAACGAGTTGTCCCGTGGGGCATTGCAGGTGCCTCCCGTTGACGTATAGTTGATGTTCGGGCGGATACTGCGAAGCCCAAGCACAAGGTTAGACTGTACCATACAACTCTGGATTCGGAGCCGTCCCGAGCGGCGCGGTGCAATCGCTGGCACGTTCAGCCGTGGTAGAATGCCAAGTGCTGTTTGGTATGGCTTCTGTGATATGCTAAGGGGCCCTCCGCTCTCCTGTGTGCGCCTCCCTGCCTGAATCGCCTCATGTTCTCGAGGCTCTGTCGGCGCTCAGACATGTCTCGGCGCTCGTGAAAGCGCCTTAAATGCTCAACATGGCTTCCCAGACGGACCTGGGAGGCCTCCTCAGCCGCCGAGATGGCTCATGATGCTTCCAAGACGGCCCAAGAAGTTCCAAGGAAGCCCAAAGAGTGCGCGAAGAGGACCCCCATGAAGGGCCAAAGAAACACACATATTGATTTCCAATCCGTTTTCGATGCTTGTTACGTTATCGTTTGTTCTACCTTCTGGCGCTCCAAGACGGCCCCAGGGGCCTGCAAGACCGCCGCAAGACCGCCCCAAGACGCCTGCAAGACCGCCCCAAGACAATGGTGGGCGGAAGACCAAAGAATCATGTTCCCGGAAAGCTGTCTGTGAAGTACGATTTTCCGATGTCTCTTGGGGGCCCGCAGGGGGCTTCCCTGGGAGCCCCTTGGGGGCCTATTGGGGCTTCCGGGGGGCCTCTAGGGAGCCTCACGGGGCTTCTTGGGAGCCTCTTGATGGCCTCCTGGGGCGTCCTAGGAACCTCTTAGGCCGGCTTGAAATGTCGCGCTCTTCGGGCCCTTTTGGGTCGCTCTTGGGGCTCTCTTGGGGCGCTCTCGAGGCCCTCTTGAATTATCTGGGGAGCCTCCTGGGCCGTCTCTGGGCTTTCTTGGGGGCCTCTGCGGCCGTCTTGGAGCGACCTGAAGGGCCTCTGACGCCGTCCGGGACCGTGGGGAGGCGGAACATGCGAGAGCGCAAAAATGCTTGAAAAACCATATAATAATTGATGACTTTCGGCTTCTGGGGCCCTTTGGAGGGGCTTCTGAAGGCGCTCTTGGGGCGTTTTGGCGGCGTCGTCGGCCGTCCTGAGGCCATCTTCGGCGTGTCTGGGGCCTCTTGGGGCTGCCTTGGCAATCTTTAGGGCCCTCTTGGCGTGTCGTGGCGTGTTTGGGAGCGGGCCCGGGCAGTCCCGGGAGCCCTGGGCCCCCCCCAATCCCCCGATGGGGGGGTACGGCACCAGCCCGGGCCCCCCCCGGCCTACTCCGATATACATGTGTATATATATATAGAGAGAGATACACCTATATATATATATATATATATATATATATATATATATACATATATATTTATGTGTGTACACATACACATACATATATACCTACATGTAAAAATACACACATGCATACATGCATACATACACACACATACATACATACATACATACATACATACATACATACATACATACATACATGCATGCAGAGAGACAGACAGACAGACAGACAGACAGACAGACAGACAGACATACGTACGTACGTACATACATGCATACATACATGTTTCCATACATACCTACATACATACATACATACATACATACATACATACATACACACATACATACATACATACGTACGTACGTACGTGCATACATACATACATACATACATACATACACACATACATGCATACATACATAATTGCTTACCGACATTACTACCTACCTGCCTCCATACATACATACATACATACATACATACATACATACATACATACACACATACATACATACATACATACATTCATGCATGCATGCATGCATGCATGCATGCATGCATACATACATACATGCCGACATACCTACCTACCTACCTACATGCGTACAGACATGCAAACACATACATACATGCATGCATGCACATATGCACAGATGCATAGCTGCATGCCTGCATGCATGCATACATGCATACATGCAAATATCCACACATGCAGACATGCATGCAGTGCTGCATACGTGCATACATACATGCAGTGCTGCATACATACATGCATACATGCATGCAGGTACATACATTACATTACATTACATTACATTACATTACATTACATTACATTACATTACATTACATTACATTACATTACATTACAATACATTGCATTTCATTGCATTACATTACATTACATACCATTCCATTAAATTACATTACATTGCATACATACATACATGCATCCATGCATGCATACATGCATGCATGCATACATACATACGGTCATGCATGCATGCATACATGCATGCATGCATACGTACATGCATGCATACGTGCAATGTACATGTGCATGTAGATGTAAATGAACACGTACATATGCCTGCACGTTTACGCATGTCTGTATAGATATGTGCGTGATTAAGATGCAGTTTATCGTAAACGCATATGCACATATACACACGGACCTAGTTCAGAATAACATTATTCAAGAAGATGAAACCCTCCGCTGGCCAAACTGAAGAACCTTCGAGGGTACCGTCCCCCAGGATGCACAAAAACATCCAACAAACACGAAAAACATTAGGGCACCCTCCCCGAATCGACCTCGATCTTCTACCCCGGTACGACTGTACATACGCCGGCCCCCCTTGCGGGGACACCAGGCTGCGAGGCTCCCGGCTCCCATGTGTTATAGCCCTCCGGTCTCTGCCTGCGTCTGTAACGTGGTTACCGTCCGCGCGAGGGCGAGAGGCCGACAACCATCCAGGTGACCAGTGACCACCCCTCGCCATCGCTCGAGGTCAGAATCGTGTATAAATTACCCGATATTTGCGCTCCTGGGGTCCGAATCCGTGTAAACAACGCCAGAATCAGTTGGAAATCGCTTGTCCAGCCCGTTGTACGAGGTGGACGATGTCACGGACGACACTGGAGCAGCGACAGTGCCCAGGCTCGGCTCAAAGACAGCATCGACATGAGGGGTGACGATACGGAATTTGAAAACCGTGGCACTTGCGAATTGTTCTTTAAGAGCGCTCGTGTGCATACGCATGATAGGCAAGCCCAATGACTAGCCGAGTGGGTCGATGTGTCATGGGATGTTGTGTGCCCTAGCTGAAACCGAAGCGCAGACAACGGACCACCCGTTTGTCGGAGGACACCGGTTCATATCGCAATAGGATGCGTACAAGTCCGGTGGCGTGCCGTAGCTGTGCTTGTTAATCGTAGACATACTAAGTCTGGCGTGGATTGCCGAAGCTTCGGAGGCAAAATGTGCTCGCCGTTGACATGAACACCAGGCTTCATAAGCTGAACGTTCTGAGCGCATACCTGCAGCACGCTGGACATCCACTCCGAAGCACGCCGGGCGAGACCGCGCCACAGGAGACTTATCGCGGCAAGAGATTTCAACACACAAGCTTTCATTGGACAAAGGGGATCTACTCAGTAACTTCTTGCTTGAAAACACCTTGATTGCTGGGCATATCGACGACTCTACTGACGAATTGCTTGATGTTCAGTTCAATAGACTTTCACTTCCAGTCTTGGGCTGAAACGGCGAATCGATGTTATGCTATTTGACGTTAGCGCTTTATACACTACTTGCCGCTCAGTAGACCACCTCGACCTCGGATCGGATCACCGAGCCGTGAGAAGTATCGCATGCTTCCCATATCTGCCTCCGAAGCACCACGCCAGAAGCAAACCAAAAAAACAGGGGGGCTCCAACCTCCTGACAAAACTTGTCTTGCCATAAAACTCTCGGAATCCGTGAGCACTCATATGGCCACCATCTGCTTGCAATATGCTTTCTGACTTCGAACACGTTCTGATATCATCAACAACAACTTGTACACGAGACGAGGCGTGCAAAGCGACCACCAGCCCTTGGGAAAGCGAGGCACTCCAAGAATTACGACATCAACGACGCAGATGAAAAGACCCGGCAGCGCGTCGCAGGCTGTCCAAATTGATCAGCCAGAGACATCGGAATTCACTCCGACAACACTGTGGTTCGCGAGCCGTGATGATACTGCAGAATTTCAAGGGCTTGAACAAGCTACCAGAGATCCACCTGCACCTTTTCAGGCCCAAGGTGCGCTGCCCGATCGACAATGTTCGGATCACGGATCTGCCGGAGCAGAGAAGGGACTGGATGGACGAGATATGCAACCGAGGCCCATATGACATCCCACGGTTCTCCATGGACGAAATGCATGTCGCACTCCAAAGAATGCGCCGAGGCAGATGTTCAGAATCAGCCGGGGTTGCATTGGACATGTTTCTCTACTGCAGGGACGGCCTGTTGCAAGCTGTGTTGAGATGTTTAAACTCTATGCTGAGAACTGGAGCCGTTCATCCAGACTGGCAGGATACTATTTTCGTCATGCTTCCCAAGGGCGGCAACAAACGAAAGGTCAAAACTGGCGTCCCACAGAGAATTCTGCGCATGACTTAGAAAGACTTTGCACGTCAACTCTTACAACGTCTTCCGCCAAGGCTCGAGAAAACACACTGTTCAGACCAATACGGGTTCCGCCCAGGAAAAGTATTTGATGACGCCTTCATTGTTCTGGAGCTCTATTGCAAATCGTGCGAATGGGGGCAAAAACATTAGGTTGTCAGCCTCGATTTGATCAAGGCCTTCGACCGCATTGAGCATCCGCTGCTGTTCAACGCGTTGAACGAGCAGGGTGTTCCAGTGGAGCACATCCACCTTTTATCTGACACATACCACAACCAACGTGGGAGCGTCAACGGTAGCGGGCTATGTGATATCACCAGAGGCGTCAAGTAGAGAGACGTGCTGTCGTCGCTCCTATTCATCAGTGGTTAAGAACACGCTGTGAGGCGATTCAAGGAACCAGTTCGTGGGAAGGGCATTGACGTCGGGGGGCCAGAAAGATTGACGAACATACGGTACGCGGACGACGTGTTGCTATATGCCACGACTGCTGGCGATGCAATTTTTATGCTAGAGATTACATGCGAAAAGCTGTTCAGATGTGGACAGGCAATGAACGCAAGCAAAACCAATGTGTTCACCAACGACCCCTGGTACTTCATGGCCGCAGATGCATTGACGGTGCCTGCCGTTGACCAGAATTTACCGGTAATGCTGGACACGGACATGCACAAATGTTTGGAGCGAAAGCTGTCTGGGGACATGCTGGATGGGTCGAACATCGACATAATCTATCACATGGAGTGCGCGTGAGCTACGTACCATGCGAACCAGACGGTCCTGACCAACAAGAACAGTTCTGTCAAGTGTCAGCTTCGTCTCTACGACAGTGTGGTCTCGCCGACAGCCACAAACGGCTTAGCTACGTGCGAGCTGACGCCGCAGCAACGCATGAAGCCTACCGATGCGAGATCCGCCGTGCTACGCAAATTCATTGGCTTCTAGGAACGGCCAAGGGAAAATTGGAAAGCGCCGGCAGACGGTGCAAGCACCGACTTCGAAATGCGCTTTCGCAGCATCGCGTTTCTGACTGGTTGCAGGTAGCTTACATAATGGAATGGCGGCCCCTTCACAAGATTTTTCAAAACGATGTTCTACTTGGCCGAAGACGGTGATGGCATGGATTCCTACATCAGGCAAGTGATCCTGGGGATGCCGAAGGACAAGGTGGACAGATAACGTAGACTGGCATCTGAGTAGTAAGCACGCTCATTCATTATCAGAAGTATTCCATGGTACTCGAGTGCTCAGACTTAGCTAGTATGGTTTCGTCGACTTCATGGCTTCGCAGTAGCTTGCCTGCAACTTTCGCATACTGCATACCTTCCTACGTCGTCTCCACTTGTCTTGTGCGTGCGGCCTCCACGCGCGATCGGACCTGGCTTGCTTGCGAGCGCCCGAGGCCAGAATCCTGTGCAATGTACTCCATGTTCGCCCTCCCGAGGACCCGATCCCCAAACAATTAAGCCAGACTCGCGCTCCCGAGGCCACGATTCCCCGCAAAGCTCTGAGAAGGAAACAGAGCGTTCAACTACAACTCCAACATCTCAAGGCGCTTGCTGAATGCCAATTACCCTCGCATGATGCTCCCAGAGGTCTTCAAAACAGCGCCAGCACGTCCCAACATAGCTCTGACATCTCCCAATATGATAGCGAGGTGGCCAGCGGCAGAGGGCGAAGCAGCTACGCATATCCATATATATATATATACGTGTAAATGTCTATATATGTCTATGTCTATATGTATGTGTAGATATAGATATACGTATGAGTATATACATACACATCTGAGTCCCACGAACCTTCTGGGCGTGAGTGGTTTAGACCGTGTCCTCTTCAATCTGCCATCTTCCCCTTCGGGGAGGCATTTATCATTGTTCCCCAATAATAAACACCCCCTCCCCCAGGCGACCGGCAGCCAACCAGGACCAATGAGTGCCACGCTAGCGAGGCACTTCTGAGACCGCGGCGTTGCATCTGAGACTTCGAGATGCGAATGCGAGCGTCGCACGACGACCCTGCGGGCCAAGCCGAGCGGACTTGAGACACCGGCATCGCCCGTCTCAAAAGTCGCTTTCCCTGGGGTCCCGTTTGGAACCACATGAGAAATGGGCCCACAAGGGGAACGTGTCCTGGACACCAGAGCCTTGACCCAGACTCGGTCTCCATCCTGAGCCGTTTCCCAGGAGAGCGCAGAATCGAATCGATAAATCAGATCGGCGATTAAAATGAATCCAATCGGCGGAAATCAGCAGCCGAGTCGGGAAAAGTCGAATCGGCGCAAATCGGCAAGCTAGTATGCCTCCAGTAAGGAATCGGAGTCCAAATAGGAATCCCAAATGGAATCGAATCGGAATCGGAAGCTATCGAAGTCGAATCGAATCGAATCGGAATCGGAACCCCCCGGAACCACACACACGGTGGAGAACCCCAGGACACGCGTCCCTGAGGACCCGCTCGCCTCCTGGCGAGCCTCGTCGTCGTGCGCGCGAGGCGGTGGGCCAGCCGTGCGCGCAAAGTCGAGGAGACGTAAGACTCGGGCTCGGGGGACTCGGGTTGGCCTGACGCGGCCGTCAGAACGACGAGGAGGCCCAGTCTGAAAATCTGAGACGCGCACTCCCGCTGCAGACACCCCACGGACACTGGACCGTCAAAATCCAGGACGGGCTCGGCAACGAGCGCTTGCAAGTCCGAGTTCTGGCGCACTCGAGTCCTGCGCTTCCCCGAGTGGTGGGCCGGCCGCGCGTGCCGAAGGCGCCTTCGGGAAGCACTGCCGGACCAGCGCCGCCAGGGCGCGCGGGTCCTGGCCGCTGTCTGCGCAACCGCCCCACGCCCGCCGACGAAGGAGGCAGCGCCGACGCCCGCCCACTCGTGTCAAGAGGTACGGTCCTGAACTTCTGCTCATCGGCGGCGCGCCCTGGGGGGGAACGAGAGGGGGCGGGCCTTCTCAGAAGTCCTGTGGCGCCTTCTGAGAAGTTTCCGGGGCCTTCCCCGAAGACACAGGAAACTTCTCAGAAGGCCCGAGAGCTTCTGAGAAGCCCTGCCGCCTTCTGAGAAGGCCTTCTCCTTCTCGCTTCCCCCCCGCTCGCCGCCGAGTCAAAGGGTACTGTCAGGAACTTTGCTTAGCGTGTCGCGGCGGAGGCCCCAGCGACACGCTGTGCCCTGCGAGCAAAACGCGCGTCGCCCCGCTCCGCGGGACTCGGACTCGGACTCGGCCTGCTTCATGCACCGCGAGGGTGCTGCAGGGTGGGGCCGAAGCGGCCAACAAATGCAAATAACAGTGAAACAAATTCAGCAGATAGTGAGACTACAACGGACAATAACAAGATGCGTGACGAATGCAACTGCAACCTGTGTACTCGCCGGCCGGCCGCTCATGTGACGATGTAGCGAAAATGGATAGAACCAAGAAGACTGTACAATGTACACGTATACAGCGTACAAACATGTTTGCACAAGTACGAATGGCAATAATACTCTGAAGAAAATGTACTTGTAATCGTCGTCGGCCGCCGTGTGGACCCCAAGCGGTGTGTACGCCATATGTGTATGTCGTGATATGGTGGAAGAGGTACAGGTCTGCACATGCTGGTGCTCGTCGGTCTGCAAAGTCTGTACATGCTGGGGTGGACGGGGAGGGGGTGGGAGTCGGCACAGGTCTGCATATGCTGGTGCCCGTCAGTCTGCACATGTGTGCACATGCTGGGGAGGGCTGGGAGGGGGGTGGGAGCCGGCACAGGTCCGCACATGACGGTGCTCGTCGGTCTGTACAAGTCTGCCCTTGCTGGGGTGGACGGGGAGGGGGTGGGGGCCGGCACACGTCTGCACATGCTGGTGCCCGTCAGTCTGCACAAGTCTGCACATGCTGGGGAGGGCGGAGGGAGGTGGGAGTCGGCACAGGTCTGCACATGCTGGTGCTCGTCGGTCTGCACAGGTCTGCACATGCTGGGGTGGACGGGGAGGGGGTGGGAGTCGGCACAGGTCTGCAAATGCTGGTGCCCGTCAGTCTGCATAGGTCTGCACCTGCAGGGGAGGGCGGGGAGGGGGGTGGGAGCCGGCACAGGTCTGCACATGCTGGTGCTCGTCGGTCTGCACAAGGTTGCACATGCTGGGGTGGACGGGGAACGGGCCCATTGATGCTGCCATTCGTTGCAGATGGATTGGGTACGTCCCTGGGTAATGTAGCACTCCCCTCTCTGGCACCCCCCCCGGGCCAAGGAGAGGGAATACCCTGACCGCAGAAGGACGCCGACGAGGATGATGATGCTGTTCTTGGTGATGGCGATGATGGTAATGATAATGTGATGATGGCGTTGGTGGTGGTGGTGGTGATGATGATGATGATGACGATGGTGATGACGATGATGATGACGATGATGACGACGATGACGATGATGATAGTGATGATGCTGATGCCGATGTCGATGATGATACTGATGATGGATGGTGATGATACGACGACGATGAGGAAGAGGAGGATGATGACGATGATGAAGAGTATGATGACGATGATGATGATGACGGTGATGACGATGATGATGATGATGATGATGATGATGATGATGATGATGATGCTGATGCTGATGCTGATGCTGATGATGATGATTATGATGCTGATGCTGATCCTGATGCTGATGCTGATGCTGATGCTGATGCTGATGCTGATGCTGATGCTGATGATGATGATGATGGTGATGATGATGGTGATGATGATGATGATGATGATGATGATGATGATGATGATGATGATGATGATGATGATGATGATGATGATGATGATGATGGTGGTGGTGGTGGTGGTGGTGGTGGTGGTGGTGGCGGTGGCGGTGGTGGCGAGGGGGAGGACGAGCGGCAACACGGAGAGGAAGAGGATGAGGAGGAACAGCGTGGCATCCTCGTGCGTTGCCAGAGGTGGCCGCAGTGCAAGGTGACCCCGGAGGTTCACGGGAGGCCCAGACGGTCCCCAGAGGGCACGCATGGTCCCCAGAGCGCCCCCCACGAGGCCCAGAGGGCGCCAGGGGACCCGAGGGCGCAGCATTCGGGGGGCACGCCAAGATCACACCGCTGGCGGCGAGCACACGTCAAGGGGCCCAGGGACGCACACACATAAATAAACACCAATCCCAGGATCCCCCATGTCGTCTAATATGTTCTGGAGTTTCGTTTTCCCCCCCACTTCCCATATTTTCGAGGCATCGACGATTAGATGTGTCTGTGTTTTTTCCCCTCCTGAGAGCGGCAGCCCTCCACCTTTTTCGAAGGCCCCCCCTCGCCGAACCCTGGTCGCTTGTAATTATTTGCGTGACCATGTCAAGCATCGCTTGTCCGCTTTTTTCCTCGCTTCAGACTTGGCACTCCGTGGCCGCAGCCATCTAGGGGGCAAAACGCATCTTTTTTGAATTTGTGGTATCTCAAACCAGGATAGCGGGGCGAAAAAAGCTTTCCGAAGGTCCTTCGAAGGAGCTCGGGAAGCTCTGGGAAAGAGCTTCTGGAAAGCTTCACGGCACGCGTGTTAGAAAACAGTGAAGGCCTTCGAGGACACGCTAAAAGCTCAAGCAACCTGCAGCGGGGATTCCTGACGAAAGCTGGAACGAGCTCCGGGGCTACCCTGCGCTGCCGGCTTCTAATTTGGAACCCTCCTGACTTTCCAAAAGCTGCCCGGGAACAAGCCCCGAAACTTCAAGCGCGGGGATCTCCATTGAAATAGCAGCCAACCAGAAGCGGCACCGTGGCCGCCGCAGCCGAGGCCGAGGCCGCCGCGGCTGGCGCCGCGCTGTGGCTCGTCCACTTCGGCGTCGCCGGCGACGCCGCGCACCCCGCAGCGGACGACGTCGTCGCCGTCGTCGGGGTCGTCGTTGTCGCCGTCGTCGTCGTCGGCGGCGGCGTCGTCGGCGGCGGCGTCGTCGGCGGCGTCGTCGTCGTCGGCATCGTCTTTGAAGGCACAGCGTCGATCGCCACTGCGCGCGCAGCCGTCGGGGATCTACCGACCCGGGTCAATCCAAACCGCGGTCAGTCAGGATCCTGCAGCATCGCGCACCCAAGCCCAGGTCAGCGCACCCAAGCCCAGCTCTGCGGGATGCTGCAAAATCCAGCGCTCTGACTGACCCCCGAGGTGTGCGGCGCCGCGCGGAGCCGGTGCGGTCCTCCCGCGGGAGCGGTCTTCTCCTATGGGCGGCGGCCGCGGGCGCAGGCGGGGGGAGCGGCCGCGGTGCACGTTTCCTCGCCCTGCCGCGCCCCTCTGGAGGAGACAGAGCTGCAGCACGGGCACACCGTCGGAACCCTGGAAAGCTCAGGGGCCCTCCACCACCTCCTCCTCCTCCTCCACCTCCTGCTCCTGCTCCTGCTCCCGCTCCTGCTCCTGCTCCTGCTCTTCCTCCTCCTCCTCCTCCTCCTCCTCCTCCTCCTCCTCCTGCTCCTGCTCCTGCTCCTGCTCCTGCTCCTGCTCCTGCTCTTGCTCCTGGTCCTGGTCCTGATCCTGCTCCTGCTCCTGCCCCTGCTCCTGCGCCTGCTCCTGTTCCTGTTCCTGCTCCTGCTCCTGCTCCTGCTCCTGCTCCTGATCCTGCTCCTGCTCCTGCATGCTCGCACCGTCGGCTCCCGATTGGGACCGGCACCTCCATCGCACAGGAGGACCGACGGCGAAACCGGAAGGGTGTGTCAGCTCACTAAACTAATCGCATATAAAGATTTGACAAACTGAAACACGTTCCCATCGGGGCCGTGTGAAATTCGATGTGCAGGATAGCTCCGGCTCGCGGAGAAGATCAATCGCGCCTGATTTGCAGCACCACGTATGTTGGGAAACAAGGATGCCGCCACACAGTGGCGGATATAAGGGTGCCGAAACCCAGTCCAAATACCCAATGCTTATGAGGACACGCTCTGGGCGCAATGCCGCCACGCAGTCAACCTGCCCAGCGCTTATGAGAATAGGATCAGGCGGACAGGCGGTCTGGCGATCAGACGCGACAGGCGATCAGGCGGACAGGCGATCTGGATCAGGCGGACAGGCGATCTGGATCTGGATCTGCTCTTGCTCCTGCTCCTGCTCCTGCTCCTGCTCCTGCTCCTGCTCCTGCTCCTGCTCCTGCTCCTGCTCCTCCTGCTCCTGCTCCTGCCCCTGCCCCTGCCCCTCCTCCTCCCACGCCAGCAGGGGCGTCCAGGAGCCCTGGATGCCCAGGGTGTTCACAGGTCCACGGATCCAGGGGGCCCTTGGACTGTAAAAATCGAGTCAAGGGAATAGGTACAGTCGGATTTAGGCCAGAAGGTCATGCCTCACAAGAACATGAGACCCTCCGTCAGCCAAAACAAGCAGAACCATCCCAGGGTACCCTCCCCAGAGTGCACAGGAGCATCCAACAAGCACGAAGAACACTAGGGCACCCTCCCCGAACAGACCTCGATCTTTTACCTCGGAACTTGTGCACAGCGTGCCGCCGCGGCGGCCCCGGTGACGCGCTCGGCCTGCCAAGCGGATGGCGTGTCGCTCCGCTTCGCTGGGGGGGCTGGGAAAGGCTCGGGACGTGGACGTTCGGGGACCGCGAAGTGTTCTGGAAGGAGAAGACATGCAGCATGGGCATATGAAAGCGTTGAGAAGTCCTCGCCGACCCGCGAAGTCCACATGTAATAGGTGATTCAATTGCCGCCCTCCGTCGCACCTCCCATCTAAGACGGAAGGTGCGATGAAGACAACATTGGGCTCACACGCAAGGAATTTCTGCGACCCAGCGAGTCTGAAGGACGTATCGGGCGCCGCGGCCGATCCAAGAGTTTTGAGAGCGTTCCAGAAGTCTAAATGAGTGCATCTTTATCCCAGGCCTCACCGTCCTCCAGCTCTGGGGCCCTCTGAGATCGCTCCAGACCACTCTGGAACGATGCAACGTTATCCCAAGCATGCCTGACACTGCCCATTGCGTCCTTCCATCATGAACCTCCCCACGCCGACTTCGACTACGATCCTTGAGGGCTCTGGCCTACCCGCCCGCCCGCGTTGGCCCTGTGGGCCCCGCCGTTGGCGGTCGCCGGCGCACTTCTGCCGACGAGCCAGATGCCAGACTCAGCGCCAGACCCCCCCCCTGAGCCACCGGGGCAGGGTGAAAACGGGCCTGCGCCGCCCACCGACGGGCCCAGCCCGCGGGGGAGGAAGAGGGAAGACGGGGCGGGGAGGAGGAGGAGGAGGAGGAGGAGGAGGAGGAGGAGGAGGAGGAGGAGGAGGAGGAGGAGGAGCAGGAGGGGGAGGAGGAGGAGGAGGAGGAGGAGGAGAGGGAGGAGGAGGAGGAGGAGGAGGAGGAGGAGGAGGAGAAGGAGGACGAGGAAGCTGTGCTAATGCGACAACAGAAGTCGTTCCCCGAAGGGTGCAATCGGGCGAACACGTGCGACGGAACGAAACAAAGGCATGTCGCCTGACCCCCCTCCCGGCCACCTATCCTTGAGGTGGTGTGTCGCTCCAGCGGTGCTGCGGGGAAAAGGACTTCCCGTCTCTGGAAACGGCACAGGTCCTGATACTGCGGACGCCGCTTCGCCGACCCGGATACTGCGGGCCAGCTACGCAGACCCACGAGGAACAAGTGCCATTGAGGCTATAGCCCGTGGTGCGAGGGAATCGAGCCCTCCACCACGGCCAAGAAAGGGCCGCCCTCTGGTCTCCGTCGGCCAGGGCCAACCGACCTGAACAGTATGCCCTTGGCATTCGGTGGCCCTGGTACCAGGATTCGATACCATGCCCCTGCGAAGAGGAGGAGGAGGAAGAGGAAGAAGAGGAGGTGGTGGTGGCGACGCTGCATATGGCCAGGTCGCATGTTCATCGCATGGCAGGCGGCCGCAGGGCGCGTGTAAGGCATTATGCTTACTTCGGTGTCGAACTAAAACTGAAAGGCCCCCTTCCCGTTCGAAACGGGAACACCACGCACGGAGCACGGCGCAGGGTCGAAAAACCTGCTCTCGTCGAGCAAAAGACGACAACATTCGAGAGAGCATTCGCAAGGTGGGGCAGCCAAGGGACGAAGCACGGAAGAAACGACGCAGCAGAGCAAAGGGAAGAGAGGAGGCAAGAAACAGTCATCTAGACACTGTCGATGGGGTTACGTACGTCCCGCTGCGCGCAGCAGGACGTTTCCCGCGCCCTCGACCATTCCCCTTACCTCGAAGGCCTCTCCAGTCGGGACTGCGCCGTGGATCCCACGCCCCCTGGAATCGAACGTTCCCACGCTCGAGGACTGACCCACGGAAAGAGAAGGCGGCGAAGGGGACGGGGGCGGGCGAAGACGAGGCGTAGCAAGTTGTCAATGAGGTGGTAATCGCTGGCGCTGTGTAGAAAAGCTTCAGGTCCGCTCACGCATGCAGACTGGACACGCGCTTGAAAGATCCAAGTCTGGATCCTTCGGGGGGCCTGCTTCGTGAACCGAAGGCGTCCGGTGGAGAAACAAGCCCTCCGCATGTTTGTGGTCTCTGGATATGCTGGCGCTGTTGCGCAGGTGCCCCATCCCCATGGAATTGGGCCCCAACAGAAGTAGCGCGTGCGGCGACCTTCCCAGGGACCAGGGGCCCAGGATGCGGGAAAAACCTGGACTTCTTCACGGCTTGGTCCCCCACCAACTTGGGCGCGGTGACCTGCTCGGTAGTGTTCAAGGCCTCCGATACCTCGAGGTAGACCTTCAAGACTCGTAGTAGCCAGCGCAGCTTCGAACACGAATTGTCCAACACTCTCCCCCGACGACTTTATGTACGTGCCGTCTCATCAAGGAGGACGGAGGTTCGAACCCCGCCGAAGCTACATCGACAAGAAAGCCTACCGAAAAGCATGAAGGCCATCGTCAACTTCGTCCTTGACGCCAAGGGAATAGAAGCGAAAACCAGTTCCAGCATCATGGCGCCCTTCAAGGAGAGTGGCGATGCCACAGTGACCATGTGGCCCCTTTCAGAACCAGGCTGTCCAAGAAGCTCGCGCCACATAGCCGTTGTAGGCCTCAAACTCACAAGTTGATTCTAGAATCGCCTCCCAGGGCCCACCGTGGTGCACGCCAGTCGCCTGCATAATCTGTGCACCAGAGACCGCCTATGCTCCTTCCATGCGAGGGACTCAACTCGATGGTCACGCTGCTGCTGCCGCTGCTGCTTGATATCACGAGCGATGGCATGAAGACGTCGTTGCAGCCGAGTGAGTTCAGAAAATTATGTACGATGTACAATGAGAGAGAAGCTACGGCAGTGAGCTCAGCCAATTGCGCACGAAGAGCGGAACGATGCTTCAAAGGAGCTCGCTGCTCAGCGCCAGTGTCAGCATACACTGCGTCTTCCTCCGTATGACAACGAGCTAAATCAGAAAGGGACAACTTCCGAATATCTACAATAAAAGACCTCCACGCAGGATCATGCACAGTTTGGGCCTCTAAACGCGACCATTCAGGAGGAGGAGGAGGAGGAGCAGCAAGAGGAGGAGGAGCTAGGGCATCAGAACCCCGCAGCCTGCGCTGCCAACCTTACCCCCTCATGCCCCTTCCCCTCATCTGCCCCCTCCCCCCCACATCTCCCCCTCTCGTTCCGCTTCCCTTCCCGTCCCGCCTCCTCCCCCTCGTCCTCCCTGCCCCCTCCACCCCCTGCCACTCCCCCCGCCCCATCCTGTCCCGCCCGCCCTTTCGTGTTACTCCCCCTCCTCCCCTTTTCCCTTCCCCTCCCCCTCCCCCTCCCCCTCCCCTCCCCCCTCCAGACCCCGACGCCCTTCCCGTCCCGCAGGGCCGCGCGAGGGGGCGAGGCGGAAGCGCCGCGGCGGGAAGGCGGCGCCGCGCGGGGCGGGGCGCACTCGAAGGCCGCGAGCAGGAAGAAAAGGTCTGCCGACGGCCGCCAAGGGTGGAGAGGAGGAACGGACGGAAGAGGCGTGAGAAGACCAGAGAGAGGTGGGGACAGGGGAGAGGGAGGAGGAGGAGGAGGAGGAGGAGGAGGAGGAGGAGGAGGAGGAGGAGGAGGAGGAGGGGGAGGAGGGGGAGGAGGGGGAGGAGGGGGAGGAGGGGGAGGAGGAGAGACTTGGCACAGCCCGCAGCTTCGAGCTTCGAGGCGGGAGAGAAGCAGGGACTGGAGAGGCAGAAGAAGACAGCGGAGAGGCAGGAGGGACTGGCGGCGTGCGCAAGGCGGTGGGGTGATGGGGGGGGTGCGGCCTTCTGAGAAGGTATGGGGGCGTCTCCGAAGGGATCGGAAGCCTCGTCCTCAGGGCCCCATCCCAACACCGCCGACCGTGCCGACCGTCCTTCTTTGCTCTGCACCCATAGAAGACGCAGAGGAAAAGTAATAGTAAGAGATACGAGGTAAGAATCATAAAACGAATGATACGAATAATGGGAATACTAATATCGGGAATAAGGACAAGAAGGAAAACAACACATGACACACATTCCACGCGTCTCCAGGGGGCGCAAGGCAGATCCTAGAAATCCTTACAGGTCTCCCCGAACTTACCGGACTCGTGTCTACGGCGTTAATTTCTCTCCTGCTCACTTTCGTCCTTAGGTCTGAAAGGGGCCGCGCATGCACGCGCATGCCGCACAGTCGCATGCACATGCCCATGCAACCCTGCAAAAATCTCAACAACATGTCCGCGCATGTGCGCACATGTCACACAATCCGATACACAATCGGATGCAACCTGGACAAACTCCGGAAGTGTAAACGCACATGCCGGCACATGCCGCAGAGTCGAAAAAACCGGATGGGGGACAGACAAACCAATGGGGAGGACGAAGGACAGATGAGACAGGAGTGAGAGAAGAGCAAGGAAAACGAGGGAAGCGGATGTGGCTGGCGTTCGAGCGACAACGACATACCCAAAAAAGAGACGTGGCAGGCGACAGCACCAATCGAAAAAAAGAATGTGGGCAGCACTCGGATGATGCATGACGCGAGGATGAGCTCAGGATATTCCCGAGATCAGAGTTGCGAGAATATCTCAGGCGAAAGTGGCCTGACCACCTCCTCGGCTCAGGGCATCTCGGAACTGGACATTTCCGAAGTCAGAGTTGCGAGGATGTCTCAGGCGGTGGTGGCCTGACCACCTGAGCTCAGGGCATCTCCGAACCCAGAGTTGCGAGAATGTCTCCGCCATAAGTGGCAGGCAATCATGGGGCAAGGCATCTCCGAAGTCAGAGTTTAAGGGATGTCTCGGGCGGACGTGGCCTGGCCACCTCGGCTCAAGAAGTCTCGGGACCCAAAGTTGCGAGAATGTGTCAAGGGTAAGTGGCTGGACGGCAATGGGGCAGAGCATCTTCGAGGTCAGAGTCGCGAGGATGTCTCAGCCGAAAGTGGCCTGACCACCTGAGCCCAGGGCAGCTCGGAACCCAAAGCTGCAAGAATGTCTCAAGGGTAAGTGGCCTGACCACCATGGGGCAGGGTATTTCAGAGGTCGGAATCGCGAGGACTTCTCTGGCGAAAATGGCCTGACCACCTCAGCTCAAGGCATATCGGAACCCAGACACGCCAGGATGTCTCAAGCGCAAGTGGCTGCCCACCATGGGCCAGAACATCTCCGAGGTCAGATTTGCGAGGATGTCTCAGGCAGAAGTGGCCTGACCACCTCAACTCAGGGCATCTCGGAACCCAGAGTTGCAGTGATGTCTCAGGCGAAAGTGGCCAGATCACCATGGGGCATGGCATCTACGAGGTCAAAGCTGGGAGGATCCAGGATGCTTCAGGCCAAGGTGGCCTGACAACCTGAGCTCAAGGACCCCCCCCAGCCCTCGGGGAGTAGGTGGTCTAGGCCGCTTCTTCCAACCCCTTTTTTCCCCTTCGGAAAGGGTTCTCTCAATGTTCCCTGTTAATAAACACCCCCTCCCCCACGTGGCCGACAGCCAACCCGGGACCATGCGGGCACTCCCCACCATCCGTCAAAAAAACATACAACCAAATTCACATTGCGGGGTCCACCCTGCCAACACCCTCCACAATCCCTGTCAAGAAACAACACGAAACGCACATGGCAGCAACATATTTACAATGCGCTGGCGCCCTGTGAGCACGTTTGATCGTTTTTGACAGGGATGGCGAGGCACCCTTAGTGAAGCCGCTTCGTGCAGGACAACCATCCGTGTCAAAAACAATGCAAAGTGCACGTTGCGACAACGTCGTGGGCATTGTGCTGGCCACCCGCGATCATTGTGTAATTGTTTTTGTAACAGGGACGGCGGTGGTGCCCGCATGGTGATGCTTGCTGCGCGCAGGCCCATAACAATGCTGACACCCCCCACATCAGCATCTGGACCACGCGGACGGGGGGGGGCATCACATGTTTAACAAGCGTGGCACACCAACCGCATGTGGAGCCCGCGGCGGGCGTCGCCCACCTGGCGTCAATTTTGGTTCCCAGTGGCTGCCCATCCAGTGGCGACCCCTGGGCGCCCCAAGGGGCGACTGCTAGGGCTCCCCAAGGGTACACAAATTCATGCCCCCCTCTTGTCTGATCGATGTCCTCCAAGATGGCCCCAAAAGCGCCCCCAGGGATCCCAAAAGCGCCCCAAGAAGGCCCCAAGAGGCGCCCAGGAGGCCCCGAGAGGCGCCCAAGAAGCCTTCAAGAGGCTCCCCAAAGACCCCCAATCGTAGCAAATCTCTGGGCATCGTCTCTGGATGGGCTGGTGTGGTTACTTTTGTGACCGCGACCGCGGCGAGAGATAGGGCGGCGTCAATGGGGCGAAGCACAGAGGCGACGGCCTAAATTAACGCACGGGAGAAGGAAGGCGAAAAGAGACAAGACCAAACAAGGGGCAACGCTAACAGGAGGCGAGCCTCGCTGCCGCTCACAGGAGAGCGCACGCCAGGAAATCCTTCCGGGCGACGTGCAGCACCAGGTGGTAATTCGGGTAGCCAATCACGTCCCTGACGAGGAAGACCGCCACCATGACGCACAGCAAGCCCAGGGCAGGACGAGGGGCGCGAAACGTATGACAGCAGGCCACCGTCTCAGAGGAAAGACTGGGCATGCGGGCGCTCAACGGAATAGATCCGGATCGCCAGACACCGGGGTGGCAGCCTGGGCGGGTGCGAACAGACCACGCCGCAAGTGGCGGGAGGGAACAGCCAGAGGACGGTAGGACGAAGCAGGGGGGAGGCCGTGGGTGCCATCAGGCGGGGGCGAGCAGCCCGCGCCGCCAGGTGGCGAGATGGCCCAGACTGGGGACTGGAAGGGGTAGTGCAGTCAGGGCGGGCGCGAGCGGCACGCGCCGCCCAGGTGGCAGGAGGGCACAGCCTGAGGACAGACAGGGATGAGCAGTGCGACGGGAGAGGACCAGGTGTCCGTCGACCCCGCGCGGGGAGGGGAGGCAGGCGGAATGCGGGACAGGCGAGGGCCAGACCGCCAGAGAACGCCCAGTGAGAGACCCCCACGGAGGGGGAGGCCTGCAGACCAGCGCCCTGGGCCGAGGGAGGGCCCCTGCGACCTCGCGCGCGGGGTCTGGTGGAGCACGGAGAAAACGAGGTGAAGGCGACTAACGGTCGCAAGTCTTGTAGAGAGAACGCGCGGCATGAGGTACCAGTGCCGACGACGAGCGACTAACGGCCGCAAGCTGGGCGAGGCGGGAACTGACGGGGAACCGCCAGGGAGAGTACCCCCCGGGGGGAAGCCTGGAGGCCAGCGCCTCGGGCAGAGGGGGTTTCCCTGCGGCCTCGCACGCAGGGGCAAGGCCAAGACGATGGGGCCGCGGAGGGTAGACGGGGACCCACGGGACGGGCCCACGACCGCTGTACGCAGGAGGGGCCCAAGCAGCGTCAAGAGCGGGGCAGGGCGGCTGGGCAGGCGCCGCGGGGGTCAGACGCAGCGGTGACACCCCTCGGGCGGTCCGGCGGTCTCGCGCAGCAGGAGACAGCGGGGGGAGCGCCGAGTCCCCAGGGCGGTCGCCCAAGGCGGGGGCATGGGGGGCGGCCCGGCGCCAGGGGGGGAAGGCCATAAGATACCCAGAACAAGGGCGTTCTGGGAGGCCAGGGCCAGGCCGTCAGCCCCAGCTGGGCGCGCGCCAGGCGGCACTGGGCACGAAGCCAGGGCGGCCACCGGGGGGCCGCCCGCGGGGCGGGCGTGGAGGCGAGTGAACTGTAGGCGACTAGCGGTCGCAGCTTTAGGTAAAAATGATGCGCGGCGCAAGTAACGGTGGCGACGAGAGCGACTGACGGTCGCAAGCTGGGTGAGTGGCAGGAGCTGGCGGCGGGCCGCCGGAGAGGATGCCCCCGGGGGGGAAGCCCGGAGGCCAGCGCCTCGGGCCGGGGGGGGGGTCCCTGCGGTCTCTCACGCTGGGGCAGGGCCAGGACGGTGAAGCCGCGCAGGGCAGACAAAGACCCGAGGGAGGGGCCCACGGCCGCCGCACGGCAAAGGAGAGGCCCGAGCAGCGCCCAGAGCGCAAGGCGGCTGGGCAGGCGCCGCGGGGTCAGACGCGGCGGTGACACGTAACGGGCGCTCCAGCGGTGTCCCAGCAGGAGACGGGGGGGAGCGCCGAGGGTCTCAGGGGGCCGCCTAAAGGGGGGGCGCGAGGGGGGCGGCCCGGCGCCAGGGGACGGAGGGCCACAAAAAACCCAGGAACAAGGGCGTCCTGGGAGCCGGGGGCGGGCCGTCAGCCCCAGCTGGGCGCGCGCCAGGCGGTGTTGGGCATGGAGCCAGGGCGGCCACCGGGGGGGCCGCCCGCGGGGCGGGCGTGGAGGCGGGTGGGCGAAGAGGAAGGAGCCCGCACCGCAGGTCCACTGGCGCGAGGCGCGGCAGGGAGCCGGCGCTCGCGAAGGGAGTGCGCAGACAAGGTGGTGAGACGACTAACGGCCGCATGATGGGCGAGGAAGCCGGCAACCGTGAGGTGAAGCGACTGACGGTCGCATGTCCAGGAAAGAGTGGGGAGCCCGCAAGGGCGGAAGGGAAGCTGTAGAGAGGGCGGCGACCTGCGGAGGAATCTACTGCCGCACCCAGGGCGGGCGAGCGCTCGCGGCCCGGCTTGTAGCTCCCTGGTCTGTACGCCAAACGGTGCCGTCCGTCCAGTAGTCCTTACCCTTGCCCTTGTTTGGGGTACCTTTTCCTTTTCCACGATTCGCGAACATGTCGCGGACGGCTGCCCAGTTGACCAGAAGTCGAAGGGCCCTGTCCATTGTCAGTGGGTTGTAGTCGTACTAACGTCGGGCCGGGAGGAACTCCTCACAGGACCGGGGGTCCTGCTTGGAGGGATTTGCGCATGCGTAGCCAATTCGGGTGGGGTACGTGTGAGACCACTGAAGCCAGATGCCACTGAAGTAGTCCCCGAGCTCTCTCTGCACCGATGGGGGAGAGTTGGACCTCGTCCAGCGGGGCCCTGTACATGTACCGACCACTGTCGGCGTCGGTTAGGTCATTCGAGGGGGTGGCGCCGGGTCACGGGGCAGCCCGATCGTCTGTATGCGTACGTCCGCTGGGTGCGGGCACGGTTCCACGACTCACAGCGGCGAGTGGAGCCCCAGCTGGACCAGTCAGACCAACCACTCCAGTTGCGACTGTAGGACTCACGGTTGGAGTCGTAGTGCCCCCACGAGCGGTAATTGTCCCACTGGCCTCCTCGGTTGCCCGCGTCGTGTGTGGCACCTTCGTCCTGAGGCTGTCCCTGGGGGGACGCGTTAGGCGTGGGAGATGCTGCTATGCTGCCGGAGGGGGCGTCCGCGTCCCCGTCGCCAGCCGTGCGAGGGGGGACACCCTCGTCGGACTCGGCCGCCGGTGAGGTTGGGCTGCAGTCTCGGGAGCCTGCTGGTGGGCTGCGGGCGGTGTCACTGGCTGGCGGAGGTGGGGCGGAGCTGGGGGCTGGTGTGGTTACTTTTTGATTCGCGGCCCGCAAGGAGAAGTCCAGAGGGCGGTATGACCGAGGCTGGGGCACAGCGACAGATAATTGGCGCGACACCGCGCAGAGTGCACCTGCAGATAAATTAGAAAGAGGCGGCCACAATTGGGCAGCCGTGGAGGGGATGGAGGAGGAGGAGGAGGAAGAGGAGGAGTGGAAGAGGAGGGGAGAGGAGTGGAGGTTGGTGTGGTTACGCGAAGCGTCAAGAAGTTCCGAAGTCAGAGCTGTGAGGATGTCTCGGGCGAAAGTGGCCGGATCAAAGTGAGGCAGGGCATCTCCGAGATCGGAGCTGCGAGGATGTCTCAGGCGAAAGTGGCCAGATCACCTCAGCTGGGGGCATTTCCGAAGTCAGATTTGCGAGGATCTCTCGAGCGAAAATGGCTGGGCCACCGTTCCGGCGTGCCCGTTCCTGGCGGCGAACGCGGGCAGCGCGAGCGCTGCGCACGCCTGCGCAGTGCGTGAGCGGTGCGCTGAGTGAATCGAGGCCGCTCTGGGCCTGGCCGGCCAGGCATTCCTGCACGTCCCGCACATGCCCCGCGCAGCCCCGCGCAGCATTCGCACAGGTCGACCTGGGCTGCAAAGGTCATGCTGTGCAGGTGGCGAACGACCGTGTGCGTGCCCGGGAAGTCCGTGCAGGACTTTTTGGATCCCGTCGTCTCGAGGCCCCGAGTTCCGACAGTGCTTCTTGCAAAACAGGCT